CTCAGGCTGGGAAAAAAAAGGGGTCCTTCTTTCTGTAGAGGTCTGCAAAGGGGCGAGGGTGCCCTCTTCCCACAGAGGGGGCCCAGCTCTGCACTCACAACACCAAGGTCAGTCCTGGGGGCATCGAGTCCAGATGGAGGGGGCTCCTCCCTCCCTCTCCAGAGGCTGGCTGCTCTGGGGTTCCCTGAGAAGACAATGCAGGCCAACGCCCACATCCTGCCCACTCCGCACACAATGCTGTGACAACCTGGGGTCAGTTCCTAAATATAGCAGCAGCCTTGGCTCGGGCCCCCTCCCCAGCACAGCACACGGGAGATATCCCCAGTCGGGGGCAAGGGAGCCCTACAACGGCCCCTCCTGGATACCAGGGAAAGAGATGCCCTGAGTGTCAGAGCAGGGGGGGCTTGTAGAACACGACTCGAGGATGCTAAGGGTGAGTCAGGAGACATGGTCCAATCTCAGAGTGGGAGCTGGACCTGGGACCGCTCAGGTACCTTCCGCCCCAAATCTCTAATCCTACAATCACATCTAGCCCATTTTACAGATGAGAAAACTGAGGCCCAGAGAGGGGCAGGGGCTTGGCCACGGTCAGCCTCCTGATTCCTGGTCCTGCCTGCTGATCGCAGGTGGTCCAAGAGGCAGGGAGAGGGATGTGAAACAAGGAGAAGAGAGAAAGGGGAACTCGGGACCCACAGCCTCAATTTCCCAGGAATTGAGGTCAAATCCTTTAGGAAGAGAGGAAGGGCATTGTGGGAGGTTTGGGAGGGAGAATCCTATGGGACCCAATGCAGAGCCCAGCTCCCCACCTGCGGGAGGGCCACATCAATGGGGGGTGGGGGGCCCCAATCGGCAGCTTGAGGGCAGGATTGGAGGAGGTAGATGGTGGGGGCGGTCTAGGGTGAATTGGGCTTGAAGGGACAAGAGCAGAGGGCAGTGTGACAGTGACCTGGTCAATGAGGAGATCCGGCCCATGAAGGAGAGGGAGCCTGAGACCCCACTGGTCCGGAAGGGGCTCATGGTGACCATGAAGATTAGCTCGAGGAGGCAGGAGCCAGAGGCTGAGGGAGGGAGGAGAGAAGCCCAGAAGGTCAGGGTCACAGTCAGAATCAGGAGACCTCAGAGCCTCAGCAGCTGGACCTTAGACGCTCCCCTCCCCGCCTGCACCTGGCCCCTCCCACCCCCCCGGTTTGTCCAGAGCAGGGGGCTGAACTGGGGGGGGGGAGAAGAACGCCCCGAGGGGACAGAGGGAGGGAGGGTGGGACAGTGGTCAGTGCTGGCTGGGACGTCAGGAGGCAAGTTTGAGTCCTGGCACCAACACTCCCTAGCTGGGTGACCCCTTCTCGTCCTGGGCCTCAGCTTCCTGGTCTGTACAATGAGGTGCCACGAGAAACCTCCAAACACCCTGGCTCGGGACATCCTCTCCACCTCCGTCACTGCCCCGAGCTCTGTGGGGCCGGGGGCCAGTCCTCCCCCTCCCCCCAACGTGGCTAAACCAGAGGGCCTCTTGGCTCTGACCCTGTCGCTCATGGGCTCCTGGTCATGGAAGTGTGACCCATTTCACAGTGGAAGATACAGGGATAGCCAAGGGCCTTCCTTCCTCTTGAAGTCCCGTGGAGCACCCCCCTCCCATTCCTGTGGGCTCTGGCTGGCCATCCCTCAGAGAAAGATCATGGCAGCCTGGGCCTCAGCCTAGGCCCATGTCAGAGGCAGTGGGGGAGCCCCCACTATTCTCCCCTGTCCTCACAGACATCACTCTATCGGAGCAGAAAACAAAAGAAAAAGAAAAGATGGAGGATGGACCAGGGAAGAGATGATGGTGATGGGGGGGGTTGAAGTAGAATATAACGCTGATGTAATAATTACACGCTGGCTAGAGACAGGCCCGGCAGTGCCGGTACTACCCGCCGCATTAGATATGTTAAAACCCAAGCTGGACACGATAATTTACATGTTTCATATATTTAGAATTTCTCAGTTAACAAGGCTTCTTTCCTTCCCTTCCCCTCACTGAAAGGGAAAGAAAAACCAAGCCCTGGGGACAAATTAGAGGCAGACTGGTGGCTTCCCTCCCCACCTTCCCTTTCTGTCCTTTGGAGATGGAGTGCATGCATTATGAATAGAGCACCCACTAAGCCTTCCTTTGTGGGTTGGGACTCTTAAGTTTATGCTTCACCAGCCCAGCCCAGCTACTGCTGCTGCTGGGAAAGCTTCAGGTTTACAATGGCTTCCGGGCTCCCCTGCGAGCTTCCCATAATCTCTGGCCATCCCAGCCCATCCTGGGCTCCTGCTCCCCCCCCCCCAGTTGCTCTGGAGACTCTGGACTGCCAGATCCTCTTTTCCCTCCTGCTCACACCGAGCCCTTGGGAGAACCCAGGCTATCTCTCCTCTGTAGAACACATAGCTCTGCTGACTTTCCTCTCATTGACTGGTCAAATGTTCCTTCAACCTGCCCAGACTGTCTGCCCTCCTCTATGCATCCTCAAAAGACTTTCCAGGCTGTGGCTGGCAGCCGATGGACAGATTATCATCATTCCCCTTTAACAGAGGAGGAAACGGGGGACCCGGGAGAAGGGCACTCTCTCTCCAATGCCATCCAGTGAATGTCAGGCATGACTCAAACCCAGATCCCCTGCTTCCTGGTTCTCCTCCGTGCCCCAGTCTGCCCGACATCACTGTTTTGGAAAACAAATCTCTGAAATCACCAGAAGATAGGGGGACTTTCCCATTGTATTTTTAGGTGGAAAAGGAGGTCTGGAAAAGAATGGCCAAGTGGGGCCCCAGGTATTCCATGAATGCAGAAACATCCCCTGTTCTTACCCACCCCCTCCAAAAAAAATGCTGACTGAGGAATTTTAATAAAAACAAGGTTGATCCTCCCTCCTAAAAGTGACCCTGGGACAGGGGGGAGTAGGGCAAGAATTATTATGCCCATTTTACAAATGGAGAAACCAACACTCAGACAGTGAGTGGCCCAGGGTCACCCAATCCTAGTGTCAGTGTGTGGGTTTGAACCCCGGACCTCTGATCAGAGTCTGCTCAGCCTTCAATACACCTGGCTGTGCACCCCAGACTCGCAGGGCAGCTCCATCTTGGGTCAGCAGGGTCTGGGGCTAGGCTGGCCTGACTCACTGTTGTGTCTGCACTTGTCTCAGGGAGATGAGCAGCTGAGCTCCTCAGAGATGCCTGGGCTGTTTGCATTTCCTATCACCCCCTCTGGGACATCACACAGTGTTAGGCACCCAAGGGACAACCTGGGAAAGACATCACAACTGCTGGAAGGAACGTCTTAGGACATCCATTTCAAGCCCATTTCACAGACAAGATACAGAGAGGGAGAAGACTTGTCTGAGGTCATACACAGCTGGCTAATCAGTAACAGAGCTGGGATCTGACACAGATGAGCACTGGGATTTGAACCCAGGGCCTCTGGCTCAAGTCCACTCCTCTGCTCACAGCCCAGGGCTGGTGTCCCCTCATCTCAGAGTGCTCGGTCCATAGCATGTAGTTTCCCCATAGCCCTGACGCTGGGGGCTCTGAGCTAACCTGGTACGTGGGGCTCTGCACCCCACACCTCCCTCTGTGCCTTTTACCTCATGCTCTCATATATATCACAGCCAAAGGAATGTGCGACGTCAGAGCTGGGAGTGGCCTCCCATCTCGTCCCCGCATACAAGCCGCCTGACGCTCAGAGAGGCGAAGAAGGCCCATGTCCAAAGCCACACAAGCTCTAAGGAGCAGATTCTTCTGATCACTCCCCTGAAGGCTGGTGGGGAGCTCCCTGTGGGTGAAAGGTCTTTCCATCCTCCACATATCTGCGAGCCCTTCTCAGAGAAGCCCCTTACTCAATCAGCTGCTCAGCAGGCCCCCATGTGCCAGCCCTGCATAGCCAACCTTGGGGACTGGGGGGCAGAGAAGGCCTGTCCTTGGGGACCTTGAACTCTGGCTGGGAAAATCAGACTGATGGGAACAGAGCTTGGAAATATTTCCTGACTAGTTCTGCCACTCAGGAATCTTGGCTCGGATCTTCGGGAACTTTCATGTTACTTCTCAGAACCTGAGTCCTCACTGTTCTCAGGATGGTAGAGGGGGGCTGTGACCCCACTGAGGGATTTAGCCTTGCCCTGCAAGGGGCTATAGACACAGGTCCCACTCCTAGAACAAGGTATGAGGCGTCCTCAGAACCACCTGGTGAGGAAGGTGGTGCCAACATGATCCCATTTGCAGAAGGGGAAATTGAGGCTGAGATGTGGGTCGCTAGTACCCTGGCCAGGTTACTCTTTGCCCCTCGAGGACCCCACCCTTAATGACTTGGCTCATCCATGATGCCAGCGGGTGACACCAGGAAGGAGTTGGGGGGAGAGGCAGATGTACCGCCCAACAGCCTGGAGAGCGTGGCTTTTGCCAGTGGCCATCACACTCAGAGCTAAGCAGGGATGGCCAGAGGCTCTCAGGGCTCAGGCGCAGGCTGCCCTGGATGATCCTGGGGCCTGGCCATGTTTGCAAGCATCTCCCAGCCTTTACAAAGTTCCTAGAGCCTTCTCCGTGTAGCTGAGGTAAGGAGGAAAGTGAGGCTTAAAGATGCTGCCATTGCGGGGGAGCTTGCTAGGATCGCACTGATGGACGCATCCCACGGGCCAGGACTCCCTGGCCTCCAGTTCTGAGGTCCAGCAGGACCCGCTCAGTGCCACCTGGGGCAAGGTGAACAGGGTCATGGTGTCAGAATGGTCTGATTCCAAACGTGGCAATCATGTCTCTGGGTGTCTCGTCATGGGGTTAGAAGCTGCTCGGCATCGGGCCTCCAGCCTCATGGGACAAGCCTCAGAGGTAGTCTGTCTGGCCCCCTGCCTAAATCTGCACCTCCCCCTCCCTGTTCAGTCCTCTGGGGCCGCTGCCTCCTCCAGGGACACACACTCTGGTGGCCTGGGGAGGCGGAGGCTTGGTCATCCCTGTTAGCCTTCAGCCCCTACCTCCATGAAAAAATGGCTTCCCACAACCACGCCTGACAGCAGGGCATGCCCCCCTTTAGACAGCCCCAGGGGCAGCTGGGCAGCCTCATTTCAATCTCATTTTATTTGAGCACCTGCTGTGAGACAGGGAACACGGAAGACATATGACCCCCCCTTCAGAAGACAGACAGGAGCCCTCCAAGGCACTTGACAAAAACCCGAGGATACTGCGAAGATGGCAATTCTCACTTTGTAGATGAGGACACTGAGCTACAGGGGAGCTGGTGACCTGCCCAAGGTCACAAAGTCAGTGAGCACGGTCCCGCTGACCCTCTCATCTGCACAGACCTCCAGGGAGACTCTGGCAAACGCTCTGCCCAAAGCCCACCGAGCCCGCCCGGCAGCCTCCAAACGAAGGACCATGGTGTCGGCCAGGGCCTCCTCACCCCAGAGGCTTCCGCCCCTCTCACACCTGGGCTTGCTCTCGGACGGCCTGTGTGCCAGCATGGAGCTGGAGCGCCCACGAGCCCGGCTCCCAGGTCTGTGTCTCTGTCCTCCCCTGTGCCAGGGTGCCCTTCCTCTGTGGCAGTCGGTCCTGGCCCTTCTGACTCTCATCCCGTGGGATGGGCTGCTCCTTCCCTCTGCCCAGATGGTTTGCGCCCCTCCATCCATCCTCCACAGCCTCGAGGTCCTGACATGTGGGATGTCCTTCCCAAGCTCTCCATCCTATCTGCCACGCCGGGTCAAGGTCAGCACAGTACTGTCAGACCCACGGTATAAAGGCAACAGCAGCAGGTCCCAGGGCGAGCGGGCAGGGCTCACTCCTGGGCGAGGGCACCAGCCAAGGGTCCAGCGCTCACTCAGAAGAGACTGGGGGCAGCACCGTGGGCTGAATTCTGGTCCTCGATGTACCTCAGGATGTCCAGCTCATTCAGAGCTTGGACCTGCACCTGCCGCTGGTCCTCCCTCGGGGCCGCTCTCACCATTGGGGCAACAGCCTTTGGGGGTGGGATCGTGGGCTTCTTGGGGATTGCTGGCTTGGCAGGCATCCAAGGCTTGGCCCTGGGCAGGGCTTGGGGTCTGGGCTCTGACCCCAAGCTCAAGATCTTCTCCAAGTCCTCGTCCACTCTGAAGAGCAGAGGAAAGGGAGCTGGTGAGCAGGCCCTGGCACCGGCAGTGCCCATCCCCCAGCAGTGCCAAGGCTGGCCGCTGCCCACCCCAGAGGCCCAGCCTTGAACCAGCTTCCTTTCACAGACTCTGAGGCCACAGGTCTCCAGCCTAACTTGAGCCGGCACCCAGTGGTCCTGAGGGGGCTTCCCCGAGATGGGGAGGGCAGAAAGCGCCTCGTCTGATGACTGACCCATCAATGGATCACTTTTTAAGTGCCAGGAGCTGTTAGATGACAGACAAAAGAGGGAGAGCCTGTCCTCAAGCAGCTTACACTCTACTGGACAGTAGGGAGGTGCTCAGGGCAGAGCCGGCCCAGGGAAAGGCATGCTGGGTGACTAAATACAGTGCCAAGGTCTCCCTGCCATCCCTCTTTGGAGATACGACCGCTAACACATCAGTCACAGGACCACAGGCCACCAGCTGTGCTGGCCTTGGGCCCTGGAGCCCCTCGGTCACCAGCTCAGCTGACCCAGATGCCCCGGCTCCCATCTGGCCCAGACTCCTGGGCCAGTCAATGGGCAGAAACAATCCTATTCACCCTTGAGGACTGAGCCCAAGTGAGATGAATCATTGAGCCATCAGTCCCCGAGGGTGCCAGATGCTGGAAGACATGGGGTCTCAGGACTCCAAGCTCCTCATTGTACAGAGGGAGGCAGCCCACAGCAGGTCAGGGACTCCACGCTGGGCTCCTGACCCCTAGGCTGGCTCTAACCACAATCCTGCCCCACTGCTGGGCACATCCCAGAGAGACAGGAGAGCAGAGAGCACAGCCATGGAGAGGGGGCTCCAGGACTGCTTAGGGCCACCCTGTGGGGGTGGGCCCATGCTGCCCCAAAATGCTCCTGGGGATCCCTGAAGGAAGGCAGCCCTGGTGGGGGTCAAAGCTGAGCCTTGTGGGACAGATCCAATGGGGGTCTTGGCAAAGCCTTTGGGCTAACCCAACGATGGGACAGAGGACCCGGGAATCCTGCCTGACACCTTCTCCCTGGGTGACCTTGGCCAAGTCTCTTCCCCTTGGGCCTGGGTCCCAGCTGTCAGATGAGGGGGGTGGGTTTCCCTTCCAGCTGCGGATCCCCTGAAGCACATACCCAAACAGGTCATCATTGACGTCCGTATGGGCTGGGCCCAGCACGGGCTCCTGGTGGCGCTCGCAGGCAGTTGGTAAAAGCAAGGAATCTCCCAGGGAAACCTTTCCTCCTAAGTCAGGGTCTTCGAACAGCCTGAGGCCTGGAAGGAGAGGCAATTAATCAACATTTATTAAGCACCTACTATATGCCAAGCAGTGAGCTTGCTGCTGGCAGGGCGCAGAGGGAAAGGACAGAAGAGCCATCCTGGCCGGGTGTTCTACATGTGCAGACACATAGCCACTCAGGCACCGCCCCTGCTGGCTCTCATTAAAGCGTGGATTTATTTTGTATGACTTCAAGCATTTGTTACAAGGGAGGGCTTTCATGTTGGCGGGGGGTGCTACTGACACCAGAAGAGCATCTGATGAATCTGGGCATGGACGCACAGGGAAGAGGCAGGGATTCAGGTTCAACTGGAAACAAACTCTCAACAGCCTGGACTGTGCAGAGCCAGATTCGAGGCTTCCCCTGGAATCTGCCGGCCTCATCTATCCCCACCTTGTCCCCGGGCTCCAGGCCCTACTGCAGAGTGCGGGGCCGAGAGTTGGGAAGACCCGAGTTCAAATGTGGCAGCAGAGGTGCTCAATAAATGCTCGTTGTCTGACTGACAAAGCCCTGGGCATCCCAGGCCCTGTCCTGCTGACACGGGTGCCAGACGCGCTGGTCCTCTGGGCCACAGAGGGCCTGCCTGCTTCCTTGGGGGCGGGGGAGAAAGGAGTGGCCCTGTGAGAGCCAGGCATCCACGTCAGGGCCGGAGCCAGCCAAGGGAGGGAGGCCTGGGGCCCGGCCTTGCCTGGAATCAGAGCGAGGCTGAGGAGGGCCGCAGTCCAAACCTCTCCCTTGTCCAGACGTGTGGACTTGTCCACTACAACAGTGGGTGGGGTGTGGGCAGCAGGTCCTGCCCCTGGAGCTGAGAGCCATGACACCAACGCAGGCAATTCAAACCCCGGCAAGGCGCAAGCCGAGGCTGAGAGAATCCAGGCAGGCTTCCAGGAGGAGGTACTCACACAGCACAAAGATGCTCTCATCTGATCTTCACACACTGGGAGGCAGGAGCTATTATGGTTTTTCCCATTGTACAGAAAAGGAAACTGAGGCAAAGGGTAAGTGACTCGCCCGGGGTCACACAGCCCCTAAGTGTCTGGGGCAGATTTGAACTCGGGCCTTCCTGACTCCAGGCCCAGCCAGGACCCTCCGAATGCCCAGGGTGTTGCACTACTCACTGTCCCGGCTCGGGGCCCCGAAAAGCTCGTCATCTTCAAAGATGGTCAGCTTGGGCCTGCTCTCTTTGCTCGGGCCCGCCGGGGTTTCCTGAGGTCTGGCCTGGAAGGAGGCAGGAGGCTTCTTGGGCTTCTTGGACCTGGCGAGGAAGAAGAGGTCAGCCTTCAGCGCTTGGATGCCCCCTGGAGGGGGTCTGCAGTGGAGCGCCCCAGGGATCCGCACTGGGCCTTGGCTCCTGTCCTAGAGATCAGGAAAGCGCGTGGGGGGGTGTGTGTGAGGTGATCTCTGGGGCCCTTCCAGGATCGATGATCTCATCCCTCCACCCCCACTTTACAGAGGGGCCTGGGGCTCAGAGAAGGAAGGGATATGGTCCATGGGCACAGAGCTAGCAAGGCCCAGGCCCAGGATTCAAACCCAAGGCCCCTGAGCCCTCCTCCCCACCCTGCTCTCCCTTCAGCCAGGCCAACTTCTGGCTACCCCAGTGACGTGCTTGCCGCTGGAAGAGGCCATGAACGTGCCTGGGCATGAGGCCCCTGCCCCAGGGCAGGGCTCAGGCTCAGGCCAGGCGTTGCCCGGAAATGAACCAGCCTGGCACGTTTTCCACTCGGTGCCACCAAAGTCTGCATTTAGCAGAGCAGGAGAGAGGGGGCCTATGGACTGTGGTGGCTGTATGACGGGCCCAAACCTGACGGCTCAGCTGGGGACCCAGGGAGGGGCCCTGGAGACCATTGAAGCCTGGAGTCCTCAGTCCCCGGGGAGGGGAATCCTGAGGAGGGAAGAGGAAAATGCACTTGGCCAAGATCAACTGAAAAGAGGGAAGCTGGGGAGAGGGGAGCACATGGGGAAATCAGCAGAGGCAGGACCCCTGCAGTCCTGGCCTCAGACCAGGACAGGTCTGTGTGCCCCAGCGATATGCGCTGAGCCTCTGCTGCCTCACACTTATCAATGGCTGGGACAAAGGGGCCTGCACCTCCGATCGGCATGTGACAAACGTGGGGAGGAATGACAAGCAGGCTCAGCATTTATTAAGATCTCCAAAGGTCTGAACATCTGGGGTAAATCCAGGAGGGCAGAATGAAGTTGGCCGAGCCGGGTAGACACCCACGACCCCACTCACTGAGGGGGATGGACAGGAGGAGATGGGTGGGGCTTGGGGCTGACTGCATTTAGTTATAAGCGGGAAGGGCAGGGAGAGAAAACAGATTTTTGTCAATTAATTTTAAAGTTAATTGGGCTCAATCTAAGGTCACAGAATCCCAGAATCTCTGATCTGGACAGGTCCTTCAGAGGTACTGAGCCTAAGCTGTGCCTGACCCAGAATCCTTCACAAATGGTCATCTGGCTTCTGCTTGGTGACCTCCAGTAATGGGGGGGAGGGACAACGACGGGGACAGAGATGGAGAGACAGAGAGAGACAGAAAGAGAGGGAGAGGGAGAGAGAGACAGAGAGAGCATGCCAAGGGTGCTTTGTGCCTAGACAAAGGCAGTCCTCGCTTTCATCTGGCTGGACAGTGAATCCAGGGAGGGGAGGGTCATGGGAAAGAAGGCTGGAAAGGAGGTCAGACCCCGACTTGGGAAGACCTGAAGCACCACTTCAGGCCCTGTTTCTGTTATCCTAGCCGCTGAAGGTGTTCCCGAGGGGAGGAGCCCGGTCAGAGCTGTGCCTTAAGTCCTGGGGGCAGCTGCAGGCACTGGATGGGAGGGGGTTGAGCCTAAGGGAGGGAGAGCTAGAAGGAGGCTTTGGCAATAATCCCTAACCCGGCCTGAGCATGCAGGGAAGGGCAAAGTCTCCAGGGCCGGTGTCTGGCACTCCAGTGGTTATGGGGGTAAGGGAACTGGGAGCTGGAGAGGGCAGAGCATGAGTGTGCTCTGGGCGTTGAGCTTGAGATGTCTCAGACATCCGGGAACTGTCCAGCAGGCCAGCTGGCAATACTGGACTGGAATTCTGGAGAGAGGTAAGGGCTGCAGACAGAGAAGAGGGAGTCATCTGTGTGGAAGGTGGCTTTGAACCCCTGGGAATTTCTGCTACCATGAGGAGAAATTACAGAGAGAAATGAGAAGAGGGACCAGGACAGAGCCCTGGGGGAGGCCCAGTTAGGGGGTAGCATGGGAGATGGAAAAGGAGTAGGCAGAGAGGAAGGAGGCAAACCCACAGAGAAATCAGGGGAGGCAAGTATCTGGGAGGTGGGTGAGGAGAGGTTAGCCATATCAAAAGCAAAAAGGTTCCAGACTGAGAAAGGGTCATCAGATCTGGCACTAAAGAAATCTTTCTTTGGCCAGCCTGGAGAGAGCAGTTTCAGTTGAGAGGCTGCAGGGTATGATGGACAGAGTCAGGCTGGGTGACCCTGGGCCAGTCACTTAACTTCTCTAGGCCTCTGTTTCCTCACCTGTAAAATAGGGTTGGATTCAACAGCAGCGTCTGCTGGCCAAAGCTGCTCAGCGCAGGGAGGGAGGGAGGACGGCAGGCAGACCCAAAGGGCCCAGGGTGGGCAGGGGCTGAGCCACCGGGCCAGGGGCCTGTTCAGACCATGCAGGGCTGCCCTTCTGGCACACACAGTCTTAGGGCTCTGCCTTCCACCCAGCTGGATGTGGTCTGGTTACTGCCCAGATGCCAGCTGCAGCTCTTGGGCTCCCCACTCTGGCCACAATGGGGATGGACAGCCTGTGCCTGCCCCCTGACAGCAGCCCACCAGGGTGGACCCTTGAGGCAGATTAATGGGAGGGTAAAAGGGAGCAGGAAGGGTTTCTGAGCACAGAGGGACCTTAGGGGTCCATCCCAAAGCCCCCTAAGTCATTGTACACATCAGAAAACAGGCCTGCAGAAGGGAAGAGACTGACCCAAGGTCACCCAGGTAGCAAGGGGAAGAATCAGATGTGGAATCCAGACCCCCGACTCCAGAGCCAGGGCTCTCTCTACTGACCTCTGGCCAGAAGTGGCCTCGGATGACACTGCCAGCAGGTGTGACTTGGGGGTGGCTGGTGCCTCAGCCCACAAGCCCTGCAGAAAATGACCCCCCAACACCTTGGGGGGCCTGGGCTCCTGACTGTCAGGACGAACAGCAGCTGACCAGCTGAGCTGGGTATCTGGGTGTTGGGGAGAGGAGCCTGCCCTGGCAGTCGGGAGGCCTGCACCATGGCCACTTGTCGGACCCCGAGCAAGGGACTTCTCTGCTCTGGCTCAGTTCCCCATCTGTCAAGTGGGAACCACAATCCCTCCCTTGCCTTCACACAGGGACCCAATGAGAGAGGGCAGGAAGGCATGTGGGAAACATGGAAAACCTAAAGTGATGCACAGGAGAGTGACTCTGAGGGGGTGGGAATCGTGGCCCTGCCTCACTCACCAGGTGAGGCACTCTGTGGGGCTCAGAGAAATGGAAGGCCATCCTTGTTACCACCCTCCAGTGCCTCCAGGTTCATGCTCCTAGAATGAAGGGCAGAGCTGGGAGGGCCCTCAGAGATCCACCCCCCCAATTTAGACAAGAAGAAACAGGCCAAAGCAGGCTGAGGGGGCCAGAGCTGCCTCAGCTGTGGCCCTCTCCTATCCTGCGCTCAGTTCTGGGTACCACAGAATTGAAGAAAGACAGTGAGAGGCCGGGGGTCTCCAGAGGAGGCAGTTAGGATGACCAAGGGCCGTGGAAGGAGTGCGCAATGATCTGGGGATGTGCAAGCCCATCAGATACCTGAAGATGAGCTCCAGGGAACAGAATCCGGGGCCACAGAGGGGAGCTACCACAAGGACCATGGAGGCTGCAGGGTAGGGCGAGCTTCCCTGCAGCTAGAGCTGCCCAGAGGGGGCTGGGTCCCAGTGCTTTGGGGAGGGGGGTGTCTTCCTTCGAAGCCTGCAGGACCCCTCACCAAGTTGTCCGTGATTCTGGCTCTGGCTCCGACCTGTGTGGCCCTGAGCAAACCGCTTGTCCTCTCGAGGCCTCCGTTTTCTCCCTCACAAAGTGGAAGAAGGATGGCCGTGAAGGCCTCTGAGGGCCCCTCCATCTGGGCACCCAGGAGCGTAGGGTGACCAGTCCAACTCAAGCTCTGGCTATGACACCAGGTGTTAACTCCTACTTACTTGGTGTGCTTATAGGTGTGCCACCTGGAATAGGCACAGAACCCTGCATACAGGAGGCACTTAATCTATGCTTCTGGAATGGAAAGCGAAGTGACCCAACTCTACCGAACCAAATGGCCAGCCACCCAAAGGGAAAGGCCCAGCAATGGGCTGGGCGCCAGGTGGGCTGCTGTTTGGCCCACCGAGCTCTCGCACCTCCTCCTGGAATGAGGAGGAGATCCAAGGGAACATTCTCTGCACCCAGAGTATTTTCCTGCCCAAAAAAGGAGCAGCTCCAGGCTGGCTCCGGGAAAGCCAAGCCTCTCCGTATGTTGTTGGATGGGTTACCAGGGACAAGAGACGGAGCTGAGGACACACTCTTATCTCTACCAAAACAAGGCCAGAGTGGGAAAGCTGGGTCCAGGCCGCGCCGGCTGCCGACAAGATCATCACTCCACTTTAGCCCTCCACTGTCCCCGCCTGACCCCGGCTGCTGAGGAAATGGCTGCAAGATGGAGGGATGGCCATCAGCTCTGGCCACCAAGGGAAGGCCGAGGAAGGCCGGGGGACCTTGACGACCAGCTACCATCCAGAGGGAAAAGGGGTCCGGAGAGGGGAAGCCACTGACCCAGCAGAGCCCTGGAGCCGTGTCGCCATCTGCTCCTATAAACTGGTGTTAGGAATTTCAAGTTCACAAGAAGGGGAGGCTGGTGCAGGACAAAGGTGCAGGCTGAACCCAGGGCCAAAGTGGCTTTGGCAAAACTGCCCCCGGGGGGAAGAGAAGCCCACAGAAGAGAGAAGACAGGCAGGAGGGTGGCCCGTGGAAAACATGGAGAGGACAGAGTGGCCCCAGGGGCTGGTCCGCTGGTCATCTAGCTACAAAGGGCCTGAATCAGGGGATGGGGGGTGGCCCCCAAGAGGAGCAAAGAGAGCACCTGGCTGCCCTGGACACGGAGCAAAGACATCCAGGGGTCCTGGAAGAAGCAGCACATGTGGCTGCTGAGCCCCACGAGGAACATCTGACAGACCGCAGACAACGGGGGAGGAGGACAAGCCGCAGGCAGAAGGCAAGGTTCATCCTGACCGTCAGCCACAGTCAGCAGACTCAAGATCGGGCGGCGCGGCTGTGGCTCCTGGGGAGATCCCAGGACATTTCACGAAAAAGAAGGCCCCAAGGGGGGGATGCCATGGGGCCAGCCTGGCATCTTCCAGAGAGCTGCTGGTTCTGGTGAAGTGGCTGCTACAAGGGAAGGCTGAGGCAGTGCTACGCAGACGGCCAGCAGAGAGTCATGCAAAGCAATCTGATGCAGGTCTTGTGCTGTCCTTGCAGAAAAGACAGAGAGGCAAGACCTCAGGAGTGAAATGGAAAAGAAGGTGTAAAAGCTCACTGAAGACAGTAATTCCTTAAAAATTAGAACTGGGCAAGTGGAAGCTAATGGCTCCCTAAGACATCAAGAAACAAATGAAATGAAATGAATAAAAAATATAAGAAAATGTGAACTATCTCACTGGAAAAACAACTGACCTGGAAAATAGACGGAGCAGAAATAATAATTATTGGATTACCTGAAAGCCATGATCAAAAAAAGAGCCTAGACATCACATTCCAGAAGTTATAGGGGAAAATTGCCCAATATCTGAGGTCCAGAGGATAAAACAGAAATCGAAAGAATCCACTGATCACCTCCTGAAAGAGATCCCAAAATAAAAAGTGCCAGGAATATTATAGCCAAATCCAGAGATCCTAGGTCAAGCAGAAAATATTGCAAGCAGATGGAAAGAAACAATTCAAATATTGTGGAGCCACAGTCAGGATTACACAAGATTTAGCAGCTTTCACATTAAAGGAGAGGAGGGGTTGGCATATAATATTCCAGAAGGTGAAGGAGCTAGGATTACAACCAAGAACACCCTATCCAGGGGCAGCTAGGTGGTGCAGTGGATACAGCCCTGGATTCAGGAGGACCTGAGTTCAAATCCAGCCTCACACACATAACACTTACTAGCTGTGTAACCCTGGGCAAGTCACTTAACCTCATTGCCTAGCTAAAAAAAAAAAAAAAAGAATACCCTATCCAGTAAAACTGAGTGTAATCCTTCAGGGAAAAATGGATATTTACTAAAATAGAGGATTTTCAAGAATTTCTGATGAAAAGACTAGAGCTGAATAGAAAATCTGGCATTCAAACACAAGCTCGAGAGAAGCATAAAAAGAGAAATCATAAGGGATTCAATAAGTTTAAACTGTTTACATTCCTAAATGGGCAGATGATACATGTAACTCCTAAGAACTTCATCATTATCAGGGCAGTAAGAAGGAGTGTACACAGAGGGTACGGATATAAGTCAATCATAATGGGATGATCTCAAAAAGAAATGAATTGGGAAGAAAGAGGGATGCACTGGGAGAAGGGGCAAGGGACGGGTGGGGGAAATTCTCTCACATAAAAGAGGCATGCAAGGAAGAGCTTTTATAGTGGAGGTGGAAATGGGTATGTGTGGGGAGTAGCCACTCTCACTGGAATTGGTTCAAAAAGGGAAGAACACACACACACACACACACACACACACTCAGTTGAGTATAAAAATCAATCTTACCCAATAGGATAATAGGAAAGGAAGGGGAAAAAACTTAAGAGGGATGGGAGTGGGGGAGGTGGAGAAAGAAAAGGATCATAAAAGGAAGAGCAGACTTCAGGGAGGCAGTGGTCAGAAGCAAAACAGACTTTTGAGGATGGACAGGATTTAAAAGAAGAAAATGGGATGAAAAGAGATACACAGTAATCATTACGGTGAACATGAATGGGACAAGCTCACCCATGAAAAGGAAGCAGAGAGCAGAACCGATTAGAACTAGAATCCAAGAATCCATTGTTTACAAGACACACATCTGAAATAGAAAGGCTTGCGTGCACACGGAGGCAAAATAGAGCTGGAGCAGAATGCAGTAATCTGCAGCTGATGCAAAAAAGGCAGGGGCCACAAAGTGAAGGCAGCAGAACCAGGAGAACATAGTACACAGTGACAGCAACGTTGTGTGGTGATCAACTATGAATGACTTAGCGATGCAACAGTCCAAGACAATTCCAAAGCACTCTCAATGAAAAACACTATTCGTCTGCAGAGGAAGAGCCGATGATGGACCCTGAATGCAGATCGCAGCACACGGCTTTAACTTTTTCTTTTGTGTTTTTTTTCCCCTTTTGGTCTGTTTCTTCTCTCACTAATATGCAAAGATGTTTTACATGATTACACATATATAACCTATAATCAAATCACTTACTGTTTTAGGGAAGGAGGGAGGGTAGGAGAAAATTTTGAAGTCAAAATTTTCAAATAAATGTTAAAATTTGTCTTTACATGTAATTAGAAAAAGTAAAATACTATTACAAAATACAGAAGTAGCAATCATGATATCAGAAAAAACAAAAGTAGGGGCAGCTAGGTAGCGCAGTGGCAGATACGTGACATCAGCTATGTGACCTTGGTCAAGTCACTTAGCCTCAATTGCCTCACCCTCCCCCCAAAAAAGCCAGAAAAGGCAAAAGTAGACCTAATTAAAAGAGATAATTAAAGAAACTACATTTTCCTAAAAAGCAGCGTAGATAATCATTTACAACAAGTTTCTCTGAAAAAAAGGCCTCATTTCTCAACTATATTAGGACTTGAGTCAAATTGGTAAAAGTAAGAGTCATTCCTGAATTGATAAATGGTCAAAGGATATGAACAGGCAGTTTTCAGAAGAAGAAATTAAAGCTCTCTACTGTCATATGAAAAAATACTCTAAATCACTATTGATTAGAGAAATGCAAATTAAAACAACTCTGAGGTATACCTCACACCTAGGGATGTGGAAAAATAGGGACATTAATGAACTGCCAGTAAAGTAGTGAACTGGTTCAACCATTCTGGAGAACAATTTGGAACCATGTGCAAAGGGTTATCAAACTGTATATACCCTCTGATCCAGAAATACCACTGCTAAGTCTATATCCCAAAGAGGCCAAGGAAAAGGGAAAAGGACCTATAGGTACAAAAACATAGCAGCTCTTTTGCAAAGAAGTGGAGTAAAATGGCAGGCCCATTACTTGAACCCAGGCCCCAGGATTCCCAACCAGCTAGTGGGATGAAGACATACCTCATGATGCCCAGAGGGTCTAGCACCTCCTCTTCTTCCTCCTCTTCCTCCTTCTTCTGTTCTCTCGAGTGGCTCAGGCTGCTAGGCAAGGGACCCCCACCCACTGTCTTGTCTGGCTCCTGGAAGAAGTCAATGCCATCCTCTGCGTCCCCATCAGCTTCATTCTTGTGCTCTGGGGGACCCCTTCCCATTAAATCAGTGCCCCCAGAGGACTTGGTTCCTATAGCAAGAGACATAAAAGAAGGGGCAGGGGGAAGGCACAAGCCTGGGCACTGGTTTCAATTTTGCCAAGGGAATGGATAAGGCACAGCAGGCCGTGATGCCAGGAATCTAGATTTCCTGATGGGGGGGCAGGTGGGAAGGAGAGAATTTGGAATGGGAAATAAAATAAAACGGGGTTAAATAAAGACAAGCCTAAGGCAGCAGCATCTCACCCCCACCAAGCTGGCAAACATCCTAAAAAGCACCATGGCCCAGCGCTGGCAGGGCTGAGACAAACAGGTTCCCTCTGTTGTTGGGATGGCAAACCGGTGGAATCTTCTCAGAGAGCCATCTGCAGGTGCCCACCATGTGAGCCCCCCCTTGTCCCAGAAATCCTGGCTTCCTCAGTCCCATCATCTGCAGGAGGCCTTTCCTGGTCCAGCTAGAGAGCCAGAATGCTGCCAGTGCATCCCCCCCCCCCCACATGACCTTCTAGCCATTCTGCAAACCCCTGGGGTGGGATCTCCACCCTCATTCCAGTGGGAGCTCTTTGAGGTCAGGGGCTGTTTACCTTTCTTTGTAAGTCCAGCATGGCACACAGTGAGCACATGAGAAATGCTCTATCACATCTATCTTTCTCATCCTTCCATTCCTCTGCCTCTGTCAGTCTAGCCATCCTTCCAGTCCTTCTTCTCCTTCTCTCCCTCCCTCTTCTCTCTGTCTCTGTCTCCTCCCCCTCCCCTTCTCTCTAGGTTGTTTCTCCCATCAGACTGTGAACTTCTTAAGGTCAGGGACTGTGGCTTTCCTTTTCATTGTATTCCCAGTGATTAGCATAGTATTTGGCATACAGTAGGTGCTTAATAAATGCTTAGTGATCCGGGGGACCAGCTGGGAAGCATCCAGGACGCTGTGCTCCCTCCAGGACCAGGAGGCATAGGGAGAACCAAGAGATCTGGAGAGGTCTCTAGAACAGAGGACAGAAGGAGCGAAAAGCCGAGCCAGAGGCAGAGAAACACACTCCCTCCCTCCCCAACAAAGTCAAAGGGCCCCTGGCCTCAGTGTTCATTCCTTTACCCAAAGGTAAGCTCCCCAAGGGCAGGGATCTGGTCATCCTTCAGACTCCTAGAAATCCAGCTGGAAAGAACCTTAAAGAGCCCTTAGTCCAACCCCATCATTTTCAGGAGCCCTGGACCAGGAAGCAGGAGAACTGGGTTCCATACCTGCCTCTGCCTCTCTGTGACTTCAGGCGATGGCTGTCCCCTCTCTGGACTGCCATTCCCTGCTCTCTGCTCCAAGGCCCCTCCCAGCTCTGATATCCCCTGTTCTATGTCTAAGAGCTTTCTCCAACCTGACCTTCCCCGTTCTAAGCTCCCTCACAGCTCTGACCTTCTCTGTTCTGTGTTCTTAGAGCTTTCCCAAACCTGACACCCCCTGTTCCAAGGCCCCTTCCAGCTCTGACCTTCCCTCTTCTATGTCTAAGAGCTTTCTCCAACCTGACATCCCCTGTTCTCAGGCCCCTCTCAGCTCTCACCTTCCCTGTTCTATGTCCTATGAGCTTTCTCCAACCTGACCTTCCCTGTTCTAAGCTCCCTCCCAGCTCTGACATCCCCTGTTCTGTGTTCTAAGAGCTTTCCCAAACCTAACATCCCCTGTTCTAAGCTCCCTGTCAACTCTGACATTCCTTGTTGTAAGGTCCTTCCAATTCTCAACCTTCCCTGTTCTAAGCTCCCTCCCAGCTCTGACATCCCCTGTTCTGTGTTCTAAGATCTTTCCCAAACCTGACATCCTCTGTTCTAAGGCCCCTCCCACCTCTCACCTTCCCTGTTCTAAGCTCCCTGCCAGCTCTAACCTTCTCTGTTCTATATTTTAAGGGCTTTCCCAAACCTGACCTTCCCTGTTCTAAGCTCCCTCCCAGCTCTGATATTCCATGTTCCAAGGTCCCTCCCAGCTCTAACACAAGGTTAGGAACAGAGAAGCTGTTCCATATTCCAAGGGCTTTCCCAACCTGAAATTCTCTGTTCTGTGTTGTAAGCTCCCTCTCCATGCTGACATTCCATATTCTAAGCTCCCTCCCAGCGCTGACATTTCATGTTCTAAGCTCCCTTCCAACTTAGAAATTTCCTGTACTTGGGATCCTCTCAGCTCTAACACCCTAGAAACCAATCCAGATCCAGCCTGGAGACCTTAGCCAACAATGCCTACATGTTCAGAAGTCAGGTAGCGGATGTGAGTGATAGCAGAACACCTGGTCACTCACCTAAGAATGCCAGCAGCTCAGGGCTGGTGGTGAGCTCCTCATTCCTTGCGATCTGATGCATGATGTCATTGAACGCAGCCCTCCGTTCCCGTATGTCAGACTCCCCAACAAACAAGATTTTTCTGGGGAATGAGGGAAGGGCAGCCTGTGGATATCGACTTGTCAGCTTCTGGTAAAACTCTTCAATCTCACTGTATTTTTTAGAAACCTGGAACAAGACAGACATGCGCTGACCTGGACATCAAGGTAGCCCAAGGGGAGAAGTCATCCAGTGAGGGTGGGAGGAGGAAGAGCCCAGCCGTGGGGGTTGGTGATTGCCTCCGAGGGGTATCCGTGCTTCTGGCCTGGAGAGCTCTCTCATGTCCCAAGGGCATGAAGGGGAATTCCTAGGACTTGTCCAGAGCTACTTCCAGTGATTGGTGTGGGCACCACGGAGAGTTCGAGGAGGAGCCAAGAACCCCTTACTGAGAAGTACAGTACTTGGGGACTATGGAGACTGGTGAGTCTAGCCTGCAACTTGCCCAGAACTTGCAACATTCTTGGTAATCCTATCTTGCTTGAAGATCCCTACAGCCCATCACTGTCACTGAGTCAACACGCATTTATTAAGCACCTGACTGTGTGCCCTAGTGATCTGGTGGACAGCTCTCCTTGTTAAGAAGGTCTTCCTGATATTCAGTCCAAAATGGTCTCTTCATAGCTTCTCACCTGGTTCTGCCCTCCCCCCCAGCTGGAAATGTGGCTCTGGAAAAGGCTCATTTTTTTTAATGATAGCCTTTAAAAATGTATTATTTTGTTTCTGTTTTTTCCCAATCAAAATGATTTTTAACATTCATTTTCTTTAAATTTTGAGTTCCAAATTCTCTCCCACCCTCCCCAATCATGAAGAAGGCAATCTGATATAGGTTATACATGTGCAGTCATGCACATTTCCATATTAGTCATGTTGTGAAAGAAAAGACAGCCCAAAACAAACAAACAAAAAAAAACACAAGAAAAATAAAGGAAGTTTTAAGTGTGTGCTTCAATTTGTATTTAGACATCATCAGCTGTTTCTATGGAGGTGAAGAGCGTTTTTCATCAGGAGTCAGTCCTTTGGAATTGTCTTGGATCACTGTATCGCTGAGAAGAGCTAAGTCTAGCAGAGCTGATTATCCTACAATGTTGTTGTTACTGTGTATGATGTTCTCCTGGTTCTGCTTGCTTCATTCTGTATCAGTTCATGTAAATCTTCCCATGTTTTTCTGAGAGCATTTTGTCTGTCACTTCTCATAGCACAATAGTATTCCATCACAATCACGTATCACAACTTGTTCAGCCATTCCCCAATGGATGAACATCCCCTCAATTTCCAATCCTTTGACATCACAGAAAGAGTTGCTATAAATATTTTTGTACTTATAAGTCCTTTTCCTTTTTGTTTTGTATGTCTTTGGGATACAGACCTAGTGGTGATATTGCTGGGTCAAAGGCTACGCATGGTTTTGTAGTCCTTTTAGCATAGTTCCAAATTGATCAAGATAAGGTCAAAATGGGTACATGGTTTAGACATAAGGGGTGATGCCATAAGCAAATTAGGAGAGCAAGGAATAGCTTAGCTGTCAAATCTATGGAGAATGGAAGAATTATGACCAAACGAGAGACAGCACTATGAGATGTAAAATGGATAAATTTTTACACCAACAAAACCAATGTAGCCAAGAACAAAAAGAAAGCAGAAAACTAGGAAACAATGTTTACTGCAAATGTCTCTGACAAAGACCTTATTTCACAAATATGTAGGGAGCTGAGTTAAAATTTGTAAGAATACAAGTCATTCCCCAATTGATAAATGGTCAAAGGATATGAACAACAGTTTTCAGACAAAATAATCAAAGCTATCTGTAATAAAAAAATGCTCTAAATCACTATTGATTAGGGAAATGCAAATTAAAATGACTGTGAGGTACTACCTCATACCTACCTGATGGACTAATAGGACAGAAAAGGAAAATGCTGTATGCTGGAGGGGATGCGGGAAAATTGAGACTTTAATGCACAGTTGGCGGAGTTGTGAACTGCTCTAACCATTCTGGGGATTAATTTGGAACTATGCCAAAAGGGCTATAAAACCATGCATACATACCCTTTGAGCCAGCAATACAACTACTAGGTCTGTATCCCAAAGGGATTTAAAAAAAAAAGGGAAAAGGATCTATCTGTTAAAAAATATTAATACCAGTTCTTTTAGTGGTGGCAAAAAATTGGAAGTTGAGAGGATAACCATTAATTGGTGATTGACTGAACAAGTGGCATATGAATGTAATGGAATATATTGTGCTATAAGAAATGATGAGCAGGCAGACTTCAGAAAAACCTGGAAAGACTTGTCTGGACTGATGCTGAGTGAAGTGAGCAGAACCAGGAGAACGTTGTACAAGCAGCAGCCACGTTGTGTGATGGCTAACTTTGATGGACTCAGATCTGCTCAGCAATGCAATGATCCAAGACAAGTCCAGAAGACTTGTGATGGAAAACGCCACCCACGTCCAGGGGAGAACTATGGAGTTTGAATGCAGATCGAAGCATGCTATTTTCACTTTTTAAATTTTTTGTTTTTGAGTTTTTGGGCCTGTGTTTTCTTTCACAACATGACTAATATGGAAATATGTTTTGCATGACTGTACAGGCATAACCTCTATCAAACTACTTGCCTTCTCAGTTAGAGGGGAGGGAAAGGAGGAAGAGAACTTGGAATTCAAAATTTCTTAAAATGAATATTAAAGATTGTTTTATATGCAATTGGGAAAAAATGTAAAGTGCACAGAACTTAGCTATGAAGCTATCCCCTCTGCAGAAGCTGACACCTCCAAGGGGGCGTCTAAGTGGCTCTAAAACCCTAAGAGGCCCAGAGTGAGCTACTGAGCTCCCCAGGCACGGCCCCACCCAGGCCCACACGATATGCCCCAAATTACAAGGATCCCCGAGCACCGAGGCACAGGGCGGGATCTGGAGACCTTGGAGGCTCCTGCAGTCACAGGGGAATTCTCCCAGAACAGATAGGCTGGAAACCCCGTGAATGCCAAGGTCCTGGTGTCATCATCCACAGGCAGCCTGGGTCACTATGGGGGTCCCAGAGCCCAAGCACCAGTTCTAAAACAGAGTGCTCCCTGTGGCCCCATCTAGAGGCTGCTCTCTCCCTCTCGCCCCCTCGCCCCCTCCCTCTCTCTCTCACTCCCACACATATACATATGCATGTGTGTGCGTGCACACACATGTCTTGGTAGAGCAACCCCTCTGGCCCCACGGATACTTTCATTCTGTCTCTGGATCCCCGGCACCAAACACAGAGCCTGGCATCGATGTGGACAGAGGAATGGGGCGCCCTCACCACCATCTCTCACCTGATCTACAATGACAGGTTCTCAGGACTGACTGGGAGGCGTCCCCAGATGGCTTCTGAACCAGACTCCAAGTGCCCTCCAGCCTCTGCCTGAAGCGCCCCCTGGAGGCTGCCTCAGAAAGGAACTTCGTGGGTCACCCTGTCAGAGGCCTCCTGCCCAACACAGCACTAGGACGTGCGCTCACCATGAACTGGACGATGTCCTCGGCTCTGTGCTTGGCCGACTTGAAGGCGGACAGCCAGGTCACCACCATAATCTGGTATTCTATATGGCCGGACATCATCTTTCCCCGGAACTCCTGATATGTGGGGACGGAGAGGTCCAAGCCAGTGTGAGCATTCTGAACTTGCCTACGCAGAGGAAGGAAAAGGCAAGGAGGTCAGAGAGCAGGTGGGGGCAGCAGGGGAGGGATGCCGACAACAGGCCAGAGGGGCTCACACCTCGGGGAGACTCACTCAGTCGATGATCACTTATGAAGTGCTTACCATGGGCCAGATTCTGGGGATGGAAATACAACCAGAGCCCAGTCCTGGGGGGAGCTCCCTCCCTGCATCCTGGCCCAGCTGCTTCCCCTCAGCCGCTCAGGCAGGCAACTACTACAGCTGTCCTCCTGATTGTGCAGGTGAGGCGGCGGAGGCCCAGGAAGGCCCAGGGAGGCCCAGGATCACCGAGCTGGTGAACGTCTGAGGTGATCTGGAACTCGGCTCTTACCTGGCGACTCAGCCTGCTATTTTTATTAATTGTGAGAAACGCTTCCCAATTCCATTTTAACCTGGTTTGGCTGTACTCAGGAGGTGTGCAGGCTGCTTTGGGGGCTGCGAGTGTGACCCCTCTGCTCCGGGATCCTCCCAGGGCGCTCCATGGTGCCCTTTCCCTCTTGGGCAGGTTCAGTGCCCAGCTCTCAGTCTTTCTGCCCTCATATCAAGTGACTTACCGTTCAGAGTGATTTTTGGCTCAGATCCTCCACCCTGTGCCTTGGCTCCCACACGTATGGATGAAAGAAGGTAGAGAAAATGGAGAACCTGGGCCTCACTGTGCCCTCCCTGCCCCAAGGCCATTTCCTTCCCTCCTTCCCAAAATAGTAACAAAAGCTGGCATTTATATGGTGTTTTAAGGTTAGAAAGTTGATCCTCATGACAATTTAGGGTGCTGTTATTATCTCCTTTTTACAGATGAAGAAACTAAGGCAGAGGTTAAGTGCCTTGTCCAGGGTCACACAGCTAGGAAGTGTCTGAGGCCAGGTTTGAAAACCCATCTTTCTCCACTGCGCTCATTGAGCTCCCTGACCTCTAAGCTACTTCACTGGCTGTGAACTCCCCATTCTGTCCTCTGCTCCATCTCACATAACTGGGTGGCTTCCACACTGTCCTCCTGGCCCTTGTCTCACACGAAGATGTCAAGTGCCTCGACATGCACAAGTGGCCCCCTTCCATTCTCCAACAGCTCACCCCCTTTGCCAGTGCCACTCCTCATAACCTTCCAGCTCTCTCTCTACTGGTTCACTCCTGGCTGCCCACAGATATGTTCATGTTTCCTCCTTCCTTACTAACTAGCATCCTCTATCTCTTCTGCCCTTTGCAGCCAAACCTGAAAAGGCCGTCTCCTCTAGAGGGCTCTCCTCTCACTCTGTTCAACCCCTGACAATCTGGCTTCTGGTCTCCTCATTGCACCCCAACTGCTCCCTCCAAAGTGACCTGTGATTTCTTAGTGCCCAAATCCAATGGCTCTTTCTCTGTCCTCATGCCCCTTGACCTCTCTGCAGCCTTGGGCACTGTGGGTTACTTTCTCCTCCTTGACTCTCTTCCCTCTAGGTTTTCAGGACTCTGTCTCTATCTCTCTCTCTGTCTCTCTCCCCCTCTCTCCCCACCCCAACCCCTCTCATAGTTCTCCTACCTGTGTGACTGCTCCATCTCAGTCCTCTTTGCTCTTTCTTCATCCAGGTCAAGGACAGGTGTCCTTCAGGGTTCTGTCCTAGAATTCCTTCCCTTCTCCCTCTACCTTTACATCTCTCCTATCTACCTTCTCTCCCCAGACAATGTACCCAGCCTGGTGCAGGCCCTCACCATCTCTTCTATGGGCCATCACACTAGCCTGCAGCTGGGGCTGCCCCCCCCAAGTCCCTCCCCTCTCCAATCATCCTCTGCTCAGCGGTTAAAGTGATCTTCCTGAAGGGCACTCTGACCATGTCCCCCTCCCCTTCAGGGGAAGGCTTCCCATTATCTCCAGGGCCAAATCTAAAATCCTGTTTGGCTTTAAAGCCCTACTGGCCCTTCCTACCTTTCCAGTCTTCTTACACCTTCCTCTCCTCCATGGTCTCTGTGCCCCGTGATTCTGGCCTCCTGGCTGTTCCTCATACAAGAGACTCGGTCTTCTGACTCTGGGCATTTCCACTGGCTGTTCCCTGAGGCCTAGCCTTCTCCCCCTCCTCATCCCTGCCTTCCTTCTGGTCCAGCTCAAATCCTCCAGGAAGCCTTCCCTCTGTTGATTCTCCCTAGGCTGTCCTGTCTGTGTCTTGTCTCTACAGAGTTGTTTGCATGTTGACTCTGGAGGGCAGGGGTCTTGCTTCTGTGCCTGGCACATAGGAGGCACTTGCTCCATCTTGAGGAAGTGCTCAGGGACTGCCCACTCCTCTCTGTCTGTCTCTGTCTCTCACTGTCTGCAGCCTTCCTCGCTTGACTCCTTAGCTTGTCAAAACCAACAATGTGCCCCTCCATGCCCACCCTGCAGACTCTTCCCTGAACTGAGAGGCAGCAGGCCGGGCAGTCTTTTGGCTCCCCCACAGCAGGGAGACTGGGCTTTCAGTGCTGGGTCCCCTTTGCAGCTCTGCCCCAACGTGCTGTGTAACTCTGGAAACTGCCTCAGTCTCCTCCTCTGTAAAATGAGGGTGGTTGTGGGGAAAGTGAGAAAAAGTGCTAGAGAAAGGGGAGCTGGTTTTCCCTCCTCCTCCTCTTTCACAGAAGGGCAAATGAAACAAATGAGAAGACAACCTGAAGGCCTGGCCCTGAGAGGCTCTCCCTACTGCCCCACCCCCCCACACAGACATTCCTGGGAGAAGCAAAGGCAGTCTCAGCTGCCTCAGACAGCAACCAGAAGGAAATCTGCCCCCAGGCCCAACACAGGACACGAGGCCAGCCTATCCCCCGTTTTACAGGTGAGGACACTGAGGCGGCCTCAGAACGCTGGGCACCCTCCTCCCCAAGCGGACAGAGTCGGGCAGCCTGCGGCTGCTGGGGCCTCCCTCTGAGGCTCAGTTCCCGCCTAGGGGAAATGGGGGGAATCGTGCCCTGGGGCTGGCCCTGGACGGGGACCAGGCCAGGGGCCCTGGGATGGACAGCGTCTGTCGTGGGGAGAGCTCCCGGATTAGGGGCTCGGTGGGAGAGCTCAGTATTAAGGGCCCGGTGAAGGGCCCCGGGGAGGATCGGCTGCACCTCCATAGCTCTCGAAGACTTTGCCCCCGCCCGCCCCCGTCCCCGCCCTCCCCGGGGCTCACCTGCTGGCCACGAGCACGGCTGGTCCCGGCTGCATGGCGACGAGCTGCCACGGCTGCGGTCACAGTCACGGGATGGAGGCCGACTTCCCTCCAGCACCACTCCCTATGGTTCTTGGGGGGGGGGGAGTTCCTCGGCCTGCTGCCGCGCTCCTCCTGATCTTATTCCTCCTCCTTCCTTCCCTTCCTCCTTCTTCTCTTTCTCCTCCTCCGCCCGGCCCCCGCTGCGGCCAGCTCAGCGCCCCGCCTCGCCGGGGGTGGAGCGAGGATCGGAGCCGCCTAGTTGGGATGTCCCGTGAGCCTCGGCCTGGAGATGCCGGGCCCTGGCCGGCACATCCCGTCAGCCTGCTGCCATTCATCACTCTAGGCGTGGATTGGGGTCTTCCTGTGGGCTGAGGACTACAGAGAAAGGCCAAGATGGTCCCTGCCCTCTGGGAGCACAGAGTCTAACGGGGAGACAAGCTGGAAACAGGATCAATACGGAGTAGCCTTAGAGGGAAGCAAGGGGTGAGCTAGTAAGTGTTTAACAACCAGTTCTTGGAAAAAGTGTACACTGGGCAGAGACATAAGTGTAATCTATATTATCACTATTTTATCCGTCACTTTCTTCATTCTAAACAATAAAACAATCTAAAGTGGACCATTTGGAGTGTTTTCGGATTTCTGAGACGTAAATTTTTAAAAATGGTCAAGTCCCTTTGGACAGAGTACCCACATGTAAGGATATGCTACCCCAAGTGGAGAGAAGGAACACATGTGGCCGGGGACTAAGAAGAGGAAGAGGAAGAAGCAGAAGAAGAAGCAGAAGAAGAAGCAGAAGAAGAAGAAGAAGAAGAAGAAGAAGAAGAAGAAGAAGAAGAAGAAGAAGAAGAAGAAGAAGAAGAGATAGCAGCCTTCGCAACTCAGAATGGAAGACTGGCTCCCCGGGAAGGTTCAGGATTCAGTTGGTGACCTTGGTTAATTATGCTTACGTACACACATACATACATACACACACACACACACACACACATATGTATATACGTTTACATCTATCTGTCTATTTTGGTTGGTTATTGTCCTTCATTCTTTTATTTTAGTCATACACATGACTGACCTTTTATTTTATTTATTTATTTTTTAGGCAATTGGGGTTAAGTGACTTGCCCAGGGTCACACAGCTAGTAAGTGTCAAGTGTTTGGTCTGAGGCCAGATTTGAACTCAGGTCCTCCTGACTTCAGGGCTGGTGCTCTTTCCACTGTGCCACCTAGCTGCCCCTGTCTTTCATTCTTGAAGAGGACCCAAATGCCATCACTATGTTGGAGTCAAGCTACAGCGCAGTCGACTGGCTGCTCAGAGCACCATGAGCTCGGAATGCTCTACCACAGGCCAGGCACAAATAGTCTGTGTGAACATTTGGGGTGGATTCTCTACATTTGCGCATCCTGAGTTTCCTTTGAGCGCCTTCCACTCTGCTTTGCTCCTACAGCATAGCACCTTCTTTGATGAGGGCATGCCACACTAGGCATCCTGTGCCAGTCTATCCCATGTCACACAATCAATTCCAAAGTTCTTCAGAGAGACCTTGAGAGTGTCCTTGTATTGCTTCTTCTGCCCACCATGTGAGTGCTTGCCCTGTGTGAGTTCTCCATAAAATAATCTCTTTGGCAAGCACACGTTTTGCCTTCCAACAACGTGGCCAGCCCATCGCAGCTGCGATCTCTGAAGCAGAGTCTGACTGCTGGGCAGTTCAGCACAAGAAGGAACCTCAGTGTCCAGTGCCTTACCCTGCCAGGTGATCTTCAGAATGTTCCTGAGACAATTCAAATGGAAGCCATTCAGGTTCCTGGCATGGTGCTGGTAGACTGTCCAGGTTTCATAGGCATACAACAATGAGGTCAGCACAGTGGCTCTGTAGACCTTCAGTCTGGTAGGCAGTCTAATACCTCTCCTCTCCCACACTTTCCTTCGGAGCCTCCCAAACACTGAGCTGGCTCTGGTGATGTGTGTCTCAACCTCATTATCAATGTGGACATCTCTGGAAAGTACACTGCCAAGGTAAGTGAACTTACCCACAGCATTCAAAGCTTCTCCACTTACTGTAACCGATGGTTCCACCCCTGGATGGTGTAGTGCTTGCTGATGGAGCACCTGTGTTTTCTTGGTGTTGTTAGGCTAGGAAGCATCTGAGGCAGGATTTGAATTCAAGGCTTCCTGACCCCAAGCCCAGCCCTCTGTGCACTGTCCCACTCAGGGCCTCAAGATAATTTCATCCTCTGAGCCTCTTTCCTTCTCTACAAAGTGGGAATAATATTCTTCTTTGCCACCTGGGTCCAATGGGAGGCAGTTGCTTTGGAAACGGCAAAACTTGGCAAAGGCTGCATCTCACTGGTCGGTGGAACCACCAATCATCATGCCTGGCATTTCCATAGTGTCTGGAGGTTTGCCCAATGCTGACCAGGCAGAAACTCGTAGAAGCCTATTGGAAAAATACCCTGTTAGTTCCATCCTGCAGATGAGTAAACTGAGGCTGAGACACACCCATGTCTTTATGAAGTGTATTTGTGCTGCACATAGTTTTATAAGCACTTGTTAACAACAACAGCTTCAGATCACCTTAAGGTTTTCAAAGCACTTTACAAGTATGATTTCATTTTGACTGTCACAAAAACCCTGGGAGGCAGGTGCTATTATAACTCCCATTTTATAGAAACTGAGGCATGGAGAAGTTAAGCCAGGTCACTCAGATGTGGAGTTGTAACTGCCTCCCTCCTTAGATGTCAGCTCCTTATGAGGAGACATTGTTCCATTCTTTGTATTCTTGATGCCCAGCACCCAACACATAGCAGGCACTTAGATACTTGTAGATTGATTGATGAGGAAACCAGGCTCCAAGAGTGGTCACGCAGCCAGCCAAACAATCAATCCAGAAGCATTTACTAGCTGCAGAGAACTTGACTAGAGAAGTGAGAGAGGCAAATAGGAAAGCTCCTGCCCTCAGGGAGCTTCCCTTCTGCTAGGAGGCTACAGCAGGTTCCCTGAGGCACACCTAAGGACAGACTCCTAACCTGGTGGATGTCAGAGGCAGGATTTGAACCCAGGTTTCTCCTGATGCTAAGCCCTGCACCCTTTCCACCCTCCCTGCGCAGGGGAAGGCTCTGGAGGTTCAATCAAAGGACTTGGGTTTAATCTTGTCTCTGCTCCTTAGGAGCTCTGTGATCCTGGACAAGTGACCTCTTGGTGAGCAGAGGTTATTCATTTCTTCCTATTTGAATCCCCATGCCCTGCACAGAGGCTGGCACATAGGTGCTTAATGCATGCTTGCTCGTTGATGGATCTGTAAAATCAGCAGGTTCATCTCTAGACAAGTTTTCTCCCACCTTCAGGTCTTAAGCTCTGAATACAAAGTCCTAGATCTTTTCAGTGGCTCACCTCAGCTCAGTGGGATATCTCAACTCAAAGACGGTTCCCCTTCTCTGGGGGAGACCTTCTCTGGGCTGGCACACCTGGGCTCCAGGATTTACAGATTATTCCTTTTCCCTTTTCATATAAAGGGGTAGTCAGGAAGCCCCATCCCTGCCCAATCTGCTGGATCCTGCAGCTTCCCACAGAAGTGAACAGGTACTTCCCGTAGGCTACATACTCTGACCCCTTGCCAAAGGACATGAATGACCAGTGGCTCCTGGTGTCCCTGTGATTGGGGGCTGTATCAAAAGTGATTGGCAGCTGAGCTGGGAATAGCTGCCTAGGATTAGACCTCCAGTCTGTCTTTTCTGCTTCTGTCTGTGTCTTTCCCTAAGCCCAAGTGACAGAGCAGAGAGCCTGAGATGGCAGTTTCTAGCCTTGGAGGCCACCTCCTGAGTCCAAGAGGCTGGAGTGCCCAGAAGCGAGTGCTAGCTGCCCAGAGGTGATTCCTTCTACAGCTTCTCAGAGCAGGAGGATGCTGCAGCTGAAGGGACCAATGAAGCCCACACCACGTCCTGGCTGCCCAGAAGAAGCAGACCAGGAGCAGCTGAGGGTGCTCTGTGAGATGCCTGTTGAGAGGCCCTGCAGAGGTGTCTTTTCCTTCGAGACTCGTCCTGCCTCCCTGATAGGGCTGCAGTGAGGAAAGCCCTTTAGTGCAGCAGACTGAGCAGTCAGAAAGTCCAGGGGATGATCCCAGCTTCTGATACCTACTAGCTGTCTGAGTCTTCATTAGCCCTTTAAATTCTGAGCCTCAGTTTTCTCCTCTGTAAAATGGTGCAGTAGATAGAGGGCTGTCCTCAGAGCCAGGGAGTCCTGAGTTCAAGGCTTGCCTTTGATCCACTTTGGCCCTGGGCAGCACTTACTTCTCAGCACCCCAGACAGCTCCCTGAGATTGTGGGTTCCAGGGACTGTGATCTGAATCAGGCCATCTCCACCCCAGGGTTCCCAGGTCTCCATGAGATGGTCAAGCCTCTCCCGTTCCTCCCAGCCTCCACTCCATCCCAGCACAGGAGCAGCCCCTCCTGCCCAGTCCCCCAAAGCCCAGCTGAGAGTCTGTCATCCTGCTGTCCCCCCGATGTTGGACTGAGCACTGGAGAGGACTTTAGGGAGCATCTGGTCTATGTAGAGGGAAACTGAGGCTCAGAGTGGGGGAGGGGGAGCAAGCCAGAGGTAGAGTCTCCCTTTAAGCCTGGGGCCTCTGACAGACCAGATGCAGGGTTCTTTGCACAATGTTCCTTCTGAAGGCTGCTGGTGCTGGAGAAATGCCCCCGAATGGGGACCCAGGGCACAAGCCACACATACCTAGAGACCTTGGATGTTTCTAGGAGCCCATGCAGCAGAGGGTCCTGCCCCACTTTCTCTGAGCTGCCAGGTGGGCAAGTGGCTCCCTGGCCTGGGGAGCCCGTAGGGGGCCTTTCCCCAGGGCAGCTGCATTGGGCTGGAGCGGGGGAGGGGTCAGCTCCATGGAAGCTCCTGCTCTTTCTTCCCACCCCATTTTCCAGGTCACCCTTTAAGGACAGTGAAGACCGATCTTTCCCCCTCAGCCAGCCCAATGGAGCAGAGCAGGCCCAGACTCTGAGCCCAGCCACATGGGCCACTTGCTAGTTCTGGGGCCTTTAGCAAGCCCCTTCTCTTGGCTGGGACTCAGTTTCCCCCTCAGTCAAATGGATGGGTTTCATGGGATGTTCTTTCTACTATGTACCAAGTGTCTACTGGGACCCTGTCTGGCTAGGACACTTGGCCTGCCCAGTGGGTGAGCTAAGTGGTGCAGGCCTGCCCAGGAGCTGCTATAACTCCAGTGGACAGCAGGTGGAAGTGTTCTCCTGCCCATGGCTAGTTTCTCCAAGGCCCACAGCCCAGGTTGTCCTTCCTCCTAGGCCGTGGAAAAAGAAAAACGTTTTCTCCTCTTCCTCTTCTTCTTTGTCCTCTTCTCTCATCTGCTTCTCCTCCTCCTCTTTCTCCTTTTCCTCCTCCTCCTCCTCTCTCCTTGCTCCCCATCATCTCCTCTTCATGCCCCCTTCTCCCCTCTCCCCTCCTACATCAGCCATGTGAGAAGGCTTGGTCCTGAGACCAGGAGGATGCCAGCGCTGTTGCCTTAGTAACCCAAGGCAGGCAGGGCTTTTCACGGGGAGAGGATGAGGGACACTTCAAAGGCCTGCTGAAATTCCACCCGGGGCAACTGGCAGGAACCAAGGATCCTGGCCTGGAATTTGTGGAGAGCCTTCCCTGTGTGACTGAGGAGATGAAGGAAGAGGAGGAAGAAAAGGAAGAGAAGGAGGAGAAGAAGGAGGTGAAGGAGAAAGAAGAAGAGGAGGAGGAGGAGGAGGGGGAGAAGGAAGAGGAAGATGAAGAGGAGGAAGAGGAGGAAAGTGAGGAAGAAGTGGAGAAGGTGAGGAGAGGGAAGAGGAGGAGGAAGAGGAAGGCGAGGAAGAGGAGGAGGAAGAGGAAGAAGAGGAGACTCTGACCACTATCTCCTAAGGGCCACCTCCCAGGCCACCCCAGGCTGGAAGGGTTTTCCAGTGTGGGGCAAAGCAGAGTTTCTAAGTGTTTGGTGGCCGAGGCCTCTAACTCTCAGCTGCAGTGGGCAGCCCAGCCCAGATGCTTTGGGCAAGCTGCCTGACCTTCCATCCTCCCCCTTTCTTTGGCCTTCCTCCTTCCCTCTGACACAACCATCCAGCACTTATCCAGTCCCCCTTGGGTGCCAGGGCCTGGGCTCTGCTGCAGAGGAGGCTCAATTCCTGCCTTCAGAGGGCTCATGGTTAAGTTCCAGGGACAAAGCAGCTTCAGGGCCTGTCCCAGAGCTGTAGGGGAGAGATGGACAAATGCCTTAGTCAGAAGAGGGAGCGGGCAGGTGCAGGTGAGGCCAGCAAGGAAGACTCTCTGGAGGAGATGGTCTTTGAGGTCTACCTGAGCCCACCTGTGTATTTGGCGGAGGGAGTAGGGAGGCAGCACGTGGCAGCCAACTCCTCTCCATCCTGTTTTCCTTCTCTCTCCTGCCTGGCTCTCTAATTCAGTGCATGGCTGGCATGTAGCAAGTGCCTCCACCATGCCAGGTGTGCCCATCGTGGTCAGACAGACAGAAGCTCTGGGCCAGCCAGAGGCCGTCGGGGCCTGCTGATGAGCCCTCCAGCCTCTTGGCCTTTAGAGAAACAAACTCTAGGAGGATGAGCGAGTCTGGGTCCCCGGTCTGGGGATCAGGGGCTGATTCTTGCTGTTGCAGTCATGGAGCCTGCGTCTAAGCGGGGTCACCAGCCAGGTGCCACCGCGGATGCTGGGGGAGTTCCCGGAGCCACCAAATCCCCTCTGCCGCGCGCGCACCTATTGCCTGCCGGGGCCAGGCCAAGCTCAGCGCAGCCGAGGAAGAGAGGGGCTTGAGGAGGAGAGGGGCGGAGAGGGGAGCGCTGAGGCCGCCAGAGCCCAGCTGACTCCGAGGAGGCGGAGAGGGGAGCGGAGCGCCGAGGGCAGCCGAGCGCAGCGGCGTCGGAGCAGCGCACAGCCAGCGGAGGACAAGCCGCCGATGGACCTGAGCGCTGCTGCGGCGCTCTGCCTGTGGCTCCTGAGCGCCTGCCGCCCCCGGGACGGGCTGGAGGCGGCCGCCGTGCTGAGGGCCCAGGGGGACGGCCAAGGTGGGGACCCGGGCGGCGGCGCTAGACGGGGCCCAAGCGAGGCGGCCGGCGTGGCTGCCAGTCCCCTCTCGCCGTCGACAGTGAAGGCGGTGGCCAGAGTGCCGAGGCTCAGCGCGGGATCCACGGGCGGGAACGGCTCCTCTCCGTCCGTGGTCCCGCACCAGTTCATGCTTTCCCTTTACCGGAGCCTGTCCACAGGGGCACTCGTTCCTGGAGGGGCTCCGGCCCCTACCTCCGCCACCACCTCCGCGGGCGGTAACCGACGGGCTCTCGCTGACCAGTAGCCCCCAGGTACCTTCTCAAGGGCGGTGGCCGCCCCCTCTCCCTGTGCTGCCGAGTCCCAGGGTCAACTCCCTCCTGCTAGTCTGAGGGGGCTCTGGGAGTGTCTCTAGGTGTGCGCGAGCGCGTGTGTGTCTGCCCTGCTTCTCTGGGTCCAGGTCACCGTAAACTTTGCAATCAGCGGCGCCCAGGAACCCGGAGGTCTTCCTCTGCTCTGGCCTTGTGATGCTGAGATGAGTGGATTTGTGTGCGAGTGGGCCCTGAGACTGGTTTTCCTGGGCCCAGGTAAAGAAGGAGATATCTTCCGAAGCGAGGAGGGTCTGAGCCACTCGGAGTGGATGGGCAGTGAGGAAGCTCAGTGCGCCATTCCATTTCGCGACTATATCCTGCTAGGCAGCAGTCTGCGGCCCCGAGCCTTCGGGGCAGTGCCAAAGATGTGACCAGGGCGAGCTGGCCCCGCAGGCTGTGTATCGTTGGAGTCCAAAGGCCCTCCCTAGCTTATTCCCTGCCTGCCTGCCCTCAGACCCCCACCAGTGCGATAGTGTCTGCATGCTACTGAATTTCACCTGCTTTTTTGAAGGGGAGGGGCTGCCGGGAGGAGCGAAGGAAGGGTGTGACTCCTCAAAGCTCCTTTTATCTACAGGAGTCTGGGGGAGACGCTGGCTGACCCTGGTGCCCTCGGTTGGCCGCGGGCCTCAGAAATACAGCTCTGCCGTACTGCAAATGCCAAGAATAATTTTCTTAAAAATTATTTACTTTTAGTTTTCCACATTCATTTTTCGAATTTTTCATGCTACCATTTTCTGAGCTCTATCTCGGGGTCTTTGACTTTTTAGTTCTTCCAGTGTTCTATGGCCCATGTCCAAAGCCAGGTGTGGTCACTACTCCTCCAGCTGGTCTGTGAGTGACTTCAGGTACTCCTTTCCACCCCTGAGTCACAACCAGGGTCCCATGCACCCCTGTAATCCCCAGTGCTCTTGAACTCTTCAGTCCCTCCATCACATACTCACTCCTCCTCCTGGAACTAAATGCCGGGGCTCCCACCAGTGACTGCATTTACTTGTGTGTGTTTACTCCTTCTTGCACCTGGTCCCACTCCGGTGCCAGCAGACAGCCCTTGCAATCACGGCCATCGGCTGTCTCCACCAGCTCAGTGAAGCAGAAGGTCCCAAAGCAGGGCTGCCGTCTTTGACGTGGCGGTGCCTGTGTTTCACTCTGGACAGACCACCACTCAAGCTGTCTTAGGCTGGACTGTTTTACCCCCATTTTTAATCAGCTTTGTTGTTTTCACATTCATTTCGAAGCGTTATTTTGAGTTACTGGGGTGTGGGGGATTTCAGAGAGCCAGGTAATTTCTTGTCTTCTTCTGCCATCTTGCCACCATTGCCTCTTGCTCTGGGGCCCTCAACAAGCAATCACGAACACCAGGCATAAAATGACATAGAAAATGGGGAAACTGCGCTTTATTGTCTTTGGAACATGGCTCTTACAGTACATCCATAAGGGTGGGGGGTAGTATGAGGCTGATACACAAGGTAATATAAATCTTTGTAACAGGCCTAATATATTTAAAATCTGTGAATCAATTAAAAACAACATAATGCTTAACACATGGTGGCAAATTGATTAATCCTAGTCCATACAACTCCTACCCTAAAAGTGTTAATTAAATCAAACTTAATCCCATTCTCCTTAACTCGCTAATAATTAGGATTAAACTGAGTTTTTCTTGCTGCTGTCAAGCCCTTTCAGTCATGACCCCATCTGGAGTTTAGCTTGTCAAAATCATTCTCACAGCAGCTTCTGAATTTCCCCAGTTCTGGTGGTGGCCGGTGTTCTGACCCAGAGGAGCCAATGCAGTGCCATACACCAAACCTCTGAAAGCTGCCCACTCCTTTTCTGCTCCTGTTGGCAGCCTTCTCAGAAGGAAAGTTGGCTTTCCTTCTTCCACTGCTTTTTTTTTTTGGCTAGGCAGTGGGGATAAGTGACCTGCCTAGGGTCACACAGCTAGTAAGTGTTATGTGTCTGAGGCCGCATTTGAACTCAGGTCCTCCTGACTCCAGGGCTGGTGCTCTCTCCACTGCGCCAGCGAGCTGCCCCCTCTTTCTTCTCTGTGAAGGCTCAGAGAGGCGCTCTAATCTATTGACATGAAGTCTACTGGTAGTGCACCTGCCTTGGGACTGCTGCTTGTGTTGAACGTGGATGTTTAGCTTGGAGCGGATGATTCTACGATCACCCCGCACTCTGCTCCACACATCGCCTTCTTCACTCTCACGTCCTGTCTGTCTCTTCTCCTACAATGTTGTAGGCTAGTAAATGCCATTTGCTGCGAGGGTGCATCCATGACATTTTGCTGTGGTCAGGCAGCTGGAAGACTGTGTTGGTGACAAGCAGGCTGTGAGAGGAACACGTCTTCAGTAGTAAGAGACTGCTGCTGGTGCTCTTCTGAACGCCATTCCTCCCAAGGACTCCTGGCCACATCTTACAGTCTCGGCCTCCTCTGGCGTCACCCAGAATCATAAGCTTGTCCTGTGTCGGCACACTGATGATGAGGGTCTCCAGGTCTTTGTAAAATTTTATTTTTACCTCATTAGGGGCCTTCACGGTGGGAGTGCAGGCACTGATGATGGCAGCATGGCGCTTTTCTGCAAGTGGCAATCGCGCTGTCATGAGCCTCCTTCACTTCTTTCGGGAGGCATACCAAACGGCTGACCACATCAGATCTGACCATGAAACCTACGCCAGCCTCATGGTGCTCCCCTTCACTGCTCCAACTTCAGTGAGCTGGCCTTCCTTTGCCAACCTTGTTTCACTCAGAGCTGCTCTTTGTGACACCTGCTGAGCTCTCTCAGGTCTACTGAAATTTGTGTTGTCCACAAGCGTGTGCACATTCCAGGTGCCAATGGTGAGTGGGTTGGATAATCTCAGGATGTCCGGGCTCATTCAGAGCTTGGACCCGCACCTGCCGCTGGTCCTCCCTCGGGGCCGCTCTCACCACTGGGGCAACAGCCTTTGGTGGTGGGATCGTGGGCCTCTTGGGGATTGCTGGTTTGGCGGGCACCTGAGGCTTGGCCCTGGGCAGGGCTTGGGGTCTGGGCTCTGACCCTAAGCTCAAGATCTTCTCCAAGTCCTCGTCTACTCTGAAGAGCAGAGGAAAGAGAGCTGGTGAGCAGGCCCTGGCACCAGCAGTGCCCATCTCCCAGCAGTGCCAAGGCTGGCCGCTGCCCACCCCAGAGGCCCAGCCTTGAACCAGCTTCCTTCTCACAGACTCTGAGGCCACAGGTCTCCAGCCTAACTTGAGCCGGCACCCAGTGGTCCTGAAGGGGCTTCCCCGAGACGGGGAGGACAAAAAGCGCCTCGTCTGATGACTGACCCATCAATGGATCACTTTTTAAGTGCCAGGAGCTGTCAGATGATAGACACAAGAGGGAGAGCCTGTCCTCAAGCAGCTTACACTCTACTGGACAGTAGGGAGGTGCTCAGGGCGGAGCGGGCCCAGGGAATGGCATGCTGGGTGACTAAATACAGTGCCAAGGTCTCCCTGCCATCCCTCTTTGGAGATACGACTGCTAACACATCAGTCACAGGACCACAGGCCACCAGCTGTGCTGACATCGGGCCCTGGAGCCCCTTGGCTCCTAGCTCTGCTGACCCAGATGCTGTCTCAGGCTGAGCAGGACCCAGGGCCACAGTGGCCTTGAAGGACCGGAGCTGAGCAGATCCACAGGCTCCAGCAGCTGCCTGGAAATGGGAGAAGGGCATCCAGGAGGTGAGGGAGGAGAGGCTAGCCATATCGAAAGCTACCGAGGGATGAAACAAAAAGGCTCATCAGATTCAGGGGTAAAACGGGGGGAGGCTGCTTCATCAGCAGGAAGGGTTTCTGAGTACAGAAGGACCTTAGGGATCCATCCCACAGCCCCCCTGTCATTGTCAGAAAATGGAGGCCTGCATAAGGGAAGGGACTGACCCAGGGTCACCCAGGTAGCAAGGGGAAGAATCCAACGTGGAACCAAGGTCACTGGATCCAGCACTAAAGAAATCTCTCTTTGGCCAGCCTGGAGAGAGCAGTTTCAGTTGAGAGGCTGCAGGGTATGACGGACAGAGTCAGGCTGGGTGACCCTGGGCCAGTCACTTAACTTCTCTAGGCTTCTGTTTCCTCACCTGTAAAATAGGGTTGGATTCAATAGCAGCGTCTGCTGGCCAAAGCTGCCCAGGGCAGGGAGGGAGGGAGGACGGCAGGCAGACCCAAAGGGCCCAGGGTGGGCAGGGGCTGAGCCACCGGGCCAGGGGCCTGTTCAGACCATGCAGGGCTGCCCTTCTGGCACACACAGTCTTAGGGCTCTACCTTCCACCCAGCTGGATGTGGGCTGGTTACTGCCCAGATGCCAGCTGCAGCTCTTGGGCTCCCCACTCTGGCCACAATGGGGATGGACAGCCTGGGTGGGCGGGGCTGCCTGCCTGCCCCCTGACTGTCAGGACGAACAGCAGCTGACCAGCCGAGCTGGGTATCTGGGTGTTGGGGAGAGGAGCCTGTCCTGGCAGTCGGGAGGCCTGCACCATGGCCACTTGTCGGACCCCGAGCAAGGGACTTCTCTGCTCTGGCTCAGTTTCCCCATCTGTCAAGTGGGAACCACAATCCCTCCCTTGCCTTCACACAGGGACCCAATGAGAGAGGGCAGGAAGGCGTGTGGGAAACATGGAAAACCTAAAGTGATGCACAGGAGAGTGACTCTGGGGGGGTGGGAATCGTGGCCCTGCCTCACTTACCAGGTGAGGCACTCTGTGGGGCTCAGAGAAATGGAAGGCTATCCTTGTTACCACCCTCCAGTGCCTCCAGGTTCATGCTCAGACCCAGAGCCCAATGTCAATTTCTGGTCCTACCAAACCAGCATCAGGTAGGCCAAGTAACTAGGAGATGAGGCAGGTGGAGCAAACTCAGGTCAAAGCTGCCTTGGGGAAGGAGGAAGCCCACCAAAGGCAGAGGGCAGTTACAAGGGCAGGGGGGAGGGGAAGGAAGGGGATCATCAAAGGAGGCAGTGGTTAGAAGTCAAACAGACAAAGGACAGACAGAGAAAAAGAGAAAAAGAAGCTTGTAGGTGTGGTGGGAGGTGAGTGGGGCAAGCCCAGCAGAATGGATTAGAACCGGAATCCTACAACATGTTGTTCACAGGACACTCACTTGAAACAGGAGGCATGAGTGCACACAGAATTAAAATAAAGGGCTGGAACAGAACCTAATAAGCTTTGGCTGAAGTAAAAAAGGTAGGGGCAGTGGTCAAGGCATCAGAAAAAGCAAAAGGAAAAGCAAAAGCAGACCTGATCAAAAGAGATAATTAAAGAAACTACATTTTCCTAAAAGGTAGGGTAGATGATGGAAGTAATATCAAAAATGTTCATGGCAAATTTCCCTGAAAAAAGGCCTCATTTCTCAACTATATTGTAAACTGAGTCAAATTTTTAAGAGTAACAGTAATTCCTGAGTTGATAAATGGGCAAGAGATATGAATAGACAGTTTTCAAAAGAAAAAAATCAAAGCTATCCCTAGTCACATAAAAAAGTGCTCTAAATCACAACTGATTCAAGAATGCAAATTGAAACAACCTCACACCTATTAGAAATGACAAATGAAGGTGGGGATATGAAAAAAATAGGGACATAATGAACTGCTAGTCCAACCACTCTGGAGAACAATTTGGAACCATGTCCAAAGGGCTACCAAACTGCACATATCCTCTGACCCAGCAATACCACTGCGAAGTCTGCATGCCAAGGAAGAGGAAAAAAGACCCACAGGTACAAAAACACAGCAGCTCTTTTGCAAAGAAGCGGAGTAAAATGGCAGGCCCATTATTTGAACCCAGGCCCCAGGATTCCCAACCAGCTAGTGGGATGAAGACATACCACATGATGATGGCCAGAGGGTACAGCACCGCCTCCTCCTCTTCTCCTGGGAGGCTTAGGCTGCTAGGCAGGGGACCCCCACCCACTGCCTTGCCTGGCTCCTGGAAAAAGTCAATGCCATCCTCTGTATCTGCATCAGTCTCATTCTTCTCCTGCTCTGGGGGACCCCTCCCAGTTAAATTAGTTCCCCCAGAGGACTTGGTTCTTATAGCAAGAGACACAAAAGAAGGGGCAGGAGCTAGTCACTGGGGTGGAAGGCACAAGCCTGGGCACTGGCTTCAATTTTGCTAAGGGAATGGGCAAGGCACAGCAGGCCATGGCACCAGGGATCCCAGATAACACAGGCCAGGTTGGGAATAAGGAAAACTTGCATGTGAATGCCTGTTCTGCTCACTGGCTGCATGACCCTAGGCAACACTCCTAACCTCTCTGGGCCTACATTTCCTTCTGTTTAAAACAACAGAGCTGGTGTCCAACTCAAATCTAAATCAGGTCTAATGAACCATACCTGCGGGCACGCCCCGCCATAGAAAACTACCTATGAAGATTGTGTGTGTGACTGTATTCTTATGGATTTTAACCATTTCCCAATGACATCTCCTCTGGTTCAGCAGCACTCAGGAGAGGAGTGGGTTGTGGGACGTGTGAGACCAGGGGTTCTCAAACTTTCTCCACTCTCCACCCCTTTTTTGCCCTAGAAATTTTTACACGACCCAGGGTATATAGGTATATAAAACAGGGATGCAAACCAAACATTTACTTCTAATAAATCATAAAGAAATGTATTTTAAAACAATTCTTTGGCATACATATAATTTCACCACTTATTAAAGACAAAAGCAAATTTGCATACTAATGGGATGGACTGCTTGTTTGTTTTACCTAAAACATTAAATCTTGGTGGAAGAGCTGATCATGCAGGATGCAAAGCCTCTTCCCGTTTTTTTCAGAGTTGATCAATGGCTTCATAATCCTCAATGCTGACAACTCTGCTTCGCATAAATAAGAGGTACAAAATGGCCATTGCAGACATTGCTGGAAATTCTGTCCCACTCCCAAGCCCAAATTCAATTGACGACTGTGTATGTATAGTAAGAACGCTAATTCATAGCACACGAAAGTCTCGAATCTGAGCCAAGGTGGTTTTGGCAGCGTCGGCAGTGCAAAGTGTGCATGCTGTGTGCTCAGAACCAAGCCTGCGGGGTGGTCTCAAGGTGCAATACGGGCAAAGGCCGCCAGAAACACCTCGGGCTCATTACACGGCGGATTCTGAATTAAACTTTGGTCCTGAGCATTCAGAAACCTTGGACTGTGGCCAAATTTTTCAAGACCCCTACATTCAGTTACTCGACCCCACAGAGGGTCGAGACGCGAGGTTTAAGAAGCACTGGCCGAGACTAGAGGGGCTCGAAGGTTCCTTCCAGGACTAAACCTCCGATCCTGACACTTGAGAGGACATCCAGGAGAAGTCCCCTTTGTCAGAACAGAACACCGAGGCCTAGAGAGCTCAAGGGACTCAGTGCAAGTCACATGGGCAGCTAGGATTTGAACCCAAGTCTTGGGCTTTTTTCCAGCACAGCAGAAGGCACTGCCATGAGAGTGAAGGAGTCAGAGCACAGGGCTGGGGAGCTGGCCCCCCCCCGACCCCCGCCTCAGGAGGAAGGTGCTCTGCCCAGGGCCCTCAGCTCAGCACTGTACACTACCAGCCTGGCCCTCAGGAAGCTTGACAGCCAATAACCCCAACAGAGCCAAGAGTGAAAGGGGCACAGGAGATGTGCAGAGGGAGGGCAACATTCCCTTCACCTGGGAGGGTCCAAGAGGCAGGACCAGAGTGGGGCATGAAAGGGAGGGATGGGAGCAGGGGGAGAGACAGGATCATGGAGTTCATTCCAAGCATAGGTGATGGTGTAAGCAAAGGCACAGACCAGCCCTGAAAAGGACTGAAACGGTCATCTTGCCCCAACCTATCAGTATACAGAGGGAGAAACTGAGGCAGAAAAAGGTTAAATGACTTACCCAGGGTCATACAGTCAGTAAGCCAGAGGCAGGATTTGAACTCGTTTTTGTTGCATTACCTTGAGACCTTGCTGAAGTGATCAGCCTAGCTTGGTTGGAGTGAGTGCAGTTTATGTGAAGGACAGGAACCTGAAATGAGGTGGGGGAAAAGGGCTATGGAGGGCTTGATGATCCAGGACAAGAGCAAATGAAAGTGAGGGGGGAAAAAAGAGAAATAACATGTGGACAACAGCCTTCCTAGTGACGAAAGAGATGAGAATGAAAGAAAAACAGAAGAAAAAGCAGCTGTTGGGACAAAACTTCTGACCAACCCAAGGATCCCCCCAGGACTCCCAAGGAAACTCACTCTCTACCTCCCAGAGAGGGCTGATGGACCCAGCACACAGGGATCCGGGCTCCTCCACCCTATCTGTGAGGTTCCTTTTTTCCTGCTTTCCTAACTGGGGAGGGGGAGGGGTGGCAGGTGGGAAGGAGAGAATTTGGAATGGGAAATAAAATAAAACGGGGTTAAGTAAGGGACAAGCCTAAGACGGCAGCATCTCACCCCCATCAAGCTGGCAAACATCCTGAAAAGCACCATGGCCCAGCGCTGGCAGGGCTGAGACAAACAGGTTCCCTCTGTTGTTGGGATGGCAAACCGGTGGAATCTTCTCAGAGAGCCATCTGCAGGTGCCCACCACGTGAGCCCCCCCTTGTCCCAGCAATCCTGGCTTCCTCAGTCCCAGCGTCTGCAGGAGGCCTTTCCTGGTCCAGCTAGAGAGCCAGAGAGCTGCCAGTGCATCCCCCCCCCCCAACATGACCTTCTAGCCATTCTGCAAACCCCTGGGGTGGGATCTCCACCCTCATTCCAGTGGGAGCTCTTTGAGGTCAGGGGCTGTTTACCTTTCTTTGTAAGTCCAGCACGGCACACAGTGAGCACATGAGAAATGCTCTATTACATCTATCTTTCTCATCCTTCCATTCCTCTGCCTCTGTCAGTCTAGCTATCCTTCCAGTCCTCTTTCTCTCCCTCCCCTTCTCTCTGTCTCTGTCTCCTCCCCCTCCCCTTCTCTCTAGGTTGTTTCTCCCATCAGACTGTGAACTTCTTAAGGTCAGGGACTGTGGCTTTCCTTTTCATTGCATTCCCAGTGATTAGCACAGTATTTGGCATACAGTAGGTGCTTAATAAATGCTTAGTGATCCGGGGGACCAGCCGGGGAAGCCTCGAGGCCGCTGTGCTCCCTCCAGGACCAGGAGGCATAGGGAGAACCAGGAGATCTGGACCGAGGACAGGAGAAGCAAAAAGCTGAGCCAGAGGCAGAGAAACGCATTCCCTCCCTCCCCAACAAAGTCAAAGGGCCCCTGGCCTCAGTGTTCATTCCTTTACCCAAATACAAGCTCCCTGAGGGCAGGGATCTGGTCATCCTTCAGACTCCTAGAAATCCAGCTGGAAAGAACCTTAAAGAGCCCTTAGTCCAACCCCATCATTTTCAGGAGCCCTGGACCAGGAAGCAGGAGAACTGGGTTCCATACCTGCCTCTGCCTCTCTGTGACTTCAGGTGATGGCTGTCCCCTCTCTGGACTGCCATCCCCTGCTCTCTGCTCCAAGGCTCCTCCCAGCTCTGACATCCCCTGTTCTAAGGCCCCTCCCACCTGTGACAGCCTAGAACCCAGCCCAGACACCATGGCCCCCGGCCCAAAGGCAGCCCCCATTGGGGGGGCTGGGCGTGTCCGAGGAGCCCACCCTCAAGACCCCCGGCGCCCCGACCTGAGACACCCGATTTCCGAGAGGCCCGGCCCGAGCCCGAGGTATGGGTAGGGGTCTGGGGCAAAGGCGAGGGGGAGACAGACAAGTAGAGTCACAGAGCGCCGGGCCAGGAGTCAAGGAGACCCGAGTCCAAATCCGGCCTCAGACACTGGCGGGGTGACCGTGGGCAAGTTACTTCCCCCCGTCTGCCTCAGTTTCCTCATCTGTAAAATGATCTGGGGAAGGACGTGGCGGGCCCTCCGTGTGCAGATGAAGCACCCTTCAAGCCTAAAGCGCCACACAGACATGTTGGTGTTAATCATTATTACCCTAGCAGAAGCCCAGGGACCACGAAACAAAGCCCTGACTAGAAGGGAGCCGCGCTCCGAGGCCACGTGACCCCACCAGAAGGAAGTCCTGCCCCCGCGGTCACGTGAGCCGCGTTCCCCCTCCATCCTCCCGGCTTCTTCTGGAGGAGGGTCTCCCCCTCGGGGTCGCCCAGGGACAGCTGTTGCCCCCCAGGCACTCCGTGGGCCCTGACTCGAGAACACGGAGCCCCCTCGGGCTCGGCCTCGGCCAGCTTCACTCACCCGCAGCCGTTAGGAACACAGCGGGCGGGTAGCACGTTGCGTGCAGAAGCGGCAAACGCAAGTCTCGCGAGAGGCGGGCGATAACGTCAGGGCAGCGGGAGGGGTGAGCAAAAAGGAGGAGCCGCGTGGAGGCCTGGCCACGCCCCTTGGGGGGACGGGGGCGGGGCCCGGAGAACCTCATCTGCCCTTTCTGTCCAGGTGTCCGAGGCTGTCCACACCCCTTCTCTTACTGAGAAGGAAGCTGAGGCCTAGGCTGGGGAGAAGACCCCCTGAGCAGTCAGAAGCCACAGAACGGGAAGAGGCTCGAGGTCACCTGAGGTCACGCCCCATCCAGGCTCACCCAGTCGTACTCTCCTAAACCTGACGCCTGGGAGGGACGTATGCGCCAGAAGGGTGGCCTGCGCCTGCGCCTCCGCCCCCGACCAATCACAACGAGGATCGGTCTGCAGCCCCGCCCCCGGGGACCGCCCAGGATGCGGAGGACCAGCCCGTGAGGCGGGGCCGGCAGAACAGCTGGGACGTGACTATGACGTAAAGGTTGATGCGGAAGGGTGGTCCTTCCCCTGCAGATGAAGGGACGGGCTGAGGGGGATGGACTCACCAGAGGTCACGCCTCCGCCCAATCAGCAGACCTCCTGGATGAGGTCATCCTCCGCAATCCACCCATCGATCGAGCGTTCTTAGGTGCTCCTGTCCTGCTGAGCGCTGCCGCAAAAGACGTCCATTCCTCTGAGCCGCTCACAGTCTAATGGGGGAGACCACAATACATATCCAGGAGCCCGGAACAGGCTAAAGAGGAAATAATTCGCCGAAGGAAGACCCTCGAACCAAGAGCAATTGGGAAAAGATTGGGAGAGAAAATGGGGTTTTAGCTGGAGGGAAGGCAGGAGGGAGGGTGAGCATCCCTGCAAGGGCATGCCAGAGGAGATGCTGGAGGCCAGAAACCCTTGTAGCTTGTTCATGGACCAGCCAGGAGAGCCAGTGCCACTGGATGGAAGAGAATGTGGCAGGGCAGTGAAGTGCTAGAAGACTAGGAAGGCGGGTGGCTGGGTGGGGAACTAGGCTATAAACGGCCTTGAATGCCAGAGGATTTTGTGTAGGATCCCCAAATGCCTAGACCCATTCTAGGAACTTGACATAAGTATTGATACTCCCTCAAACACCTGAACCTCCCAGTTCTTCAACCTATTCACTTCCCATGACCTTCAACCTCACCTTAGCTGGACACAAGGATGGTCATACCCTTGATCATGTCCACTCACAAATCTTAATCACCCACAAATGTGCCACTTCCATGTTTATGAATTCTGCTAGTTCTTGTCAAAAACCAAGGATGAACAATGACCACAATGCCTTCTGGTCTCCTCATTGCACCCCAACTGCTCCCTCCAAAGTGACCTGTGATTTCTTAGTGCCCAAATCCAATGGCTCTTTCTCTGTCCTCATGCCCCTTGACCTCTCTGCAGCCTTGGGCACTGTGGGTTACTTTCTCCTCCTTGACTCTCTTCCCTCTAGGTTTTCAGGACTCTGTCTCTATCTCTCTCTCTGTCTCTCTCCCCCTCTCTCCCCACCCCACCCCCTCTCATAGTTCTCCTACCTGTGTGACTGCTCCATCTCAGTCCTCTTTGCTCTTTCTTCATCCAGGTCAAGGACAGGTGTCCTTCAGGGTTCTGTCCTAGAATTCCTTCCCTTCTCCCTCTACCTTTACATCTCTCCTATCCACCTTCTCTCCCCAGACAATGCACCCAGCCTGGTGCAGGCCCTCACCATCTCTTCTATGGGCCATCACACTAGCCTGCAGCTGGGGCTGCCCCCCCCCAAGTCCCTCCCCTCTCCAATCATCCTCTGCTCAGCGGTTAAAGTGATCTTCCTGAAGGGCACTCTGACCATGTCCCCCTCCCCTTCAGGGGAAGGCTTCCCATTATCTCCAGGGCCAAATCTAAAATCCTGTTTGGCTTTAAAGCCCTACTGGCCCTTCCTACCTTTCCAGTCTTCTTACACCTTCCTCTCCTCCATGGTCTCTGTGCCCCGTGATTCTGGCCTCCTGGCTGTTCCTCATACAAGAGACTCGGTCTTCTGACTCTCTGGGCATTTCCACTGGCTGTTCCCTGAGGCCTGGCCTTCTCCCCCTCCTCATCCCTGCCTTCCTTCTGGTCCAGCTCAAATCCTCCAGGAAGCCTTCTCTCTGTTGATTCTCCCTAGGCTGTCCTGTCTGTGTCTTGTCTCTACAGAGTTGTTTGCATGTTGACTCTGGAGGGCAGGGACCTTGTTTTTGTGCCTGGCACATAGGAGGCACTTGCTGAGTTGACTCAACTGGAGCTTTCCTTGTGGAATTGATGAGGATGGGAGCTAGACCCCAAAAAGGAAACACCCTGGACTTTCCCACATGGCCTAATGTCTGGGGTTCCCCTGAGGATATAATCACAACAACTGGCCTTTCATTTTGGCTATGCCCAATCTCTGTTACCCTTAACCTAGCCTGACCCTCCACTGTCTTACCTCCCTATGCTCCCCCCCCCATTTCCCACCTTTAATTCTATCTAGACTCCATTCTTCCTTGGCCACCCCTGGAGTTCTATTACCTCAGACGACTTAGCCACTCCTAGATCCCTCCCATAGTCTTTCTGTACCTAAGGTCAGTCTTGTCTCCATTAAGGTGCTCAGATTCTTATAATCTAGCCACTGCTCAGATTTTTACAATCTAGCCAGTAGCTCACAGACCTTCAGATTCCTTAAGAGTCTGGCTAATATGGCAGATCTCTAATAAAGCTTATCTTTGACTGAAAGAAGGCTTGGGTTGAATTCTTTGAGACAGGACCTGGGTGTCTCAATCTCAGGGTTCTAGCACCCCTAACCTCTAGACATCATCAGAACCTCCATCTTGAGGAAGTACTCAGGGACAGCCCACTCCTCTCTTGTCTGTCTCTGTCTCTCACTTCTGCAGCATTCCTTGCTTGACTCCCTAGCTTGTCAAAACCAACAGTGTGTCTCTCCATGCCCACCCTGCAGACTTTTTCCTGAGCTGAGAGGTGGCAGGTCGGGCAGCCTTTTGGCTCCCCCACAGCAGGGAGACCGGGCTTCCAGGCATGAGTGCTGGGTCCCCTTTGCAGCTCTGCTCCTGATATGCTGTGTAACTCTGGGACCTGCCTCAGTCTCCTCCTCTGTAAAGTGGGAGTGGTTTTAGGGAAAGTGGGGGAAAACACTAGAGAGAGGGGAGCAATTGGGAAATGACTAAAAAAGTTGCAGAATATAATTGTGATGGAAGAAATGAAGAGCTGGTTGATTTTAGAAAAACATGGAAAGACTGACATGAAATAATAAAAACTAAAGTGAGCAGAACCAAGAGAACGTGGTATGCAGTAGTGATGGTATTGTTCAAAGAGCAGCTGGGAATGATGAAGCTATTCTGAATATCAAGAGCACTTAAATCCGCTACGAAGGACCTAGGAAGGAAGATGCTCTCCACCTGCAAAGGAAGGACTGGTCAGCTACCAAGGGCCCAGGAAGGAAGATGCTCTCCACCTGCAAAGGAAGGACTGGTCAGCTACCAAGGGCCCAGGAAGGAAGATGCTCTCCACCTGCAAAGGAAGGACTGGTCAGCTACGAAGGGCCCAGGAAGGAAGATGCTCTCCACCTGCAAAGGAAGGACTGGTCAGTAGAAGGATGCATAGCTGCTGTTGTTAGGTCTGTGTTCTGGACCAACCCCCTCAGGAGGGCAGTGTCTTGTGCCAGGGAACTGGATTTGGGCTGGGAAGAGTCATCAGCCTTGCTCTCATGTCCAGGGACCCCAGGAGAACAGTGGCAAGGTATAGGTCAGAGTGATGCTGATGGCCCCAGTGCAGTGGGAGACCCTGGCCTTTTTTCAGCTTTCCCAGGTCTCACTTTGTCTGAGGCAACACTGAGGGCTAGGTTCCAGTTGAGACAAAAGATGGCCTTGTTTATCATCACAAAAGTATGAATCTGGGAGGAGAAAGACCCTCAGAGCTTCTAGCCAGAACAGAAAACAATTGTTCTTTGCCCTTACTCAAGACCCAAACTTATGGGCCACAGAGGCTTGGCCTGGGACCTATTATTGGCCATTCAGTGAAAGCCAGAGTGATTTGGGTTTAAAGATTAGTCAAGTAGCTCTGTTTGAATCACAATGGACTTTTTTGAAGCCTATTTTTTCAGACCTATGTTTCAAGAAATTAATTATAAATGAAAACAGGAAAGGACAAAGAGTAAATTGTACCAGTTTTTGGAAAGAAAAAAAAGAAAGAAAAATTTTAAAAATAATCAAGCCACCAAACCGTGATATCTTTCAAAATATATGCAACCAAAAGTTATACTCCTTTGGACAGAGCACCCACATGTAAGGGTATGTTACCCCAAGTGGAGGGAGGGAACACATGTGGCTAGGAAAGAAGAAAAGAAGAAATAGCAGGCTTCCCCAACCCGAAATGGAAGGTTGGCTCCCCAGGAAGGTCCAGGATGCAGTGGGTGACCTTGGTGTGGTTACATACATACAAACATACATATGCACATATATACACATGTACACACATATGCACATATATGTATTTACATCTATCTATCTGTCTATCTAAATCTGTCAAATGGTGACCTTCTCCAGGGTGGGGTGGGAAGGAAGGGAGGGAGACAGTTCAGAACTTAAAATGTAACCAAAACAAAATTAAAAAAAAAAAAGAAAGATAGTCATCATTCATCACAGCAGGCACCAATTGGGAGTCCCTACCTGACAAGGCATGGGCCCTGGGAACCGCCCCCCCCCCCAACTCTCCTTGAGTTTTCTCCTTTTCCCACTTGGCCAAGTCTTTGGTGTTCTCCTGAGGCATCATCCTAGTAACCCTCTCAACTGGCCTTTCATTGGACTATTCCCAATCTCCCAATTCTGTTACCTCTGACCTAGCCCGGGCTCTTCATTGTCTATTACCTTGAGAAGTCCCCTAGCTACTGCCCACCCTTGATCCTATCTAGACCCCATTCTAGACCTCCCAGTCACTCCCATCAAGATCCTCCCCAGACCCCTCCTCACAATCACCCCAGACTACTTGGCCACTCCTAGATCCCTCCCACAGCCTTTCTGTATATATAAGATCCATCTTGTCTCCATTAAGGGGCTCAGATTCTTAAAATCTAGCCAATGGCTGAGACTTACTCTAGCCTGCTTGTCAATATGAGTGTCACAAATGTTCAGATTCTTTAAGGGTCTGGCCAATATGGCGAATCTTTAATTAACATTGTCTTTGGCGGGAAAAAAGGCTTCATTCGGGTAGGACCCGCATGTTGCTGTTTCAGGGTCCCAGTGCCCTGAAGCCTCAACATGCCCTCCAGATGCTCAGAGTCTGACAACATTTGAATAAGGCCCAGCTGGCCCTTGCTCTTGCTCCATCATTCAATCGTGTCTATGTCCTGTCACCTAATCTATGTCACCCCATGGACTGTGGCACACCAGTGCTGACCGCAGAGTTTTCTTGGCAAAGATCTTGGAATGGTTTGCCATTTGCCTTTCAGGTGAGAATTAAGACAAACAGAGGTTAAGTGACTTGCCCTGAGTCACACAGCGAGTGAGTGTCTGAAGCCAGATTTGAGCTCTGGTCTTCCTGACTTCAGACCTAGGTGCTCTGGCTCTCCAAATCACTCTGGCTATCATTGATAGGCCAACGATAGATCACAGACCAAGTCCCACTTGGTCACTGTTTGGACCTGATTGACTCCAAATGAATGTAAAAAGCAATTGTGGCTGTTTTGGCCTGAAACCCTGAAGGTCTTCCCCTCCCAGATAGATATATTAACAGGCCTCTCTTTGCCTCATTTCTTGTTAAGCTTTAATCATTGTTGCCTCAGACAAACTGAGACCTGTTAAAGACCTTAGCTGGAAAACTGCCGAGATTCCCCTCTTCTTCCTGGGACCATCTCCAGTCAGCCTGATGTACACCTCACCATTGGACCCAGATCGCTCTGGAGGAGAGAGTGAGGCTGGTGACTTTGTACAGCCCTGTCTCACTTAAATCCAATTCACTTGCATGTTGGGGCATCACCTCCCTGATGCCATGGTCCTCTTTCAGCACGAAGGACAAACGGCAACCTGGATGAGCTATTCACCACACCACCCAGCTGCCTCCTACAAGCTATAGACAGGCTCAATTGGAAGTGAGTGGTCTTGGGGGGAAGCAGAGGGTGTGCTGATAATTCTTTAACAACCAGCTCTTGGAAAATGTGCACCCTCAGCAGGCTTACTTTCCAGCGTAATATGCATCATCACTAATTCCTCCATCACTTTCTTTGTTCTAAATGACCAACAACAAAACAATGAATCCAAATGGAGTCACGTGAAGCATTTGCTGATTTCTAACATACAATTGCTCATGATGAAAATTCAAGCAGGGGCTCTGCCAAGCCTGTTGTTTTCCTTTGGTTTTTGCGCCATCACAGGTGATGTCTTGACTCCAGCATGAACTGGATGTAAGTGCTTCAAAGAGCTGTCAGCCTCACTCTGGCCTCCAGAGTCCATAGAGTCCAGTAAT